AGACATCTAGATCTCAACAAATTTCAACAGCATAGAGAGTCTGAAGTTCCATTTGTTGACACGTTCGTTTTTGGGTCTGCGTGTTGTTCATTACCTGACGATCTGACCAGTAATCAGCCACAATATGAAAATTACCACAGTGTTGAAATGCACCCAACTATGCGCGGCTCTGTGGATAGATGCAAATTCGTGCAAGTGACAAAGGCCAAAGAAACAAGGACCTGATGATAACGAGGAAGAAGTAGGCTTCCAAGTGCTTCGTATATATGTTCAAAAGCATAAATAAGCGTTGCCTGGTATGCATTTTTACACGTTCCTCACCACTGCGATATAACGTGACGAGTCAATGCAAGCACGTCGATGATTAATGACCGATAATAAGGATGTACGTCTAAAAATAAATGTTCTTTATCGATCCGTTTCATCTCGGACCCATACCATGATAATGATTCAAACTAGAGGAAATTTCAAAAGCTTGGATTGGATCCACGCCACTCACAGCCAACAGTCACATCCAACCCATAATCGCCAATCGCCATTGAGGAGATAATCAAAACCATAGAAAGCACAGTTCCCGTTGCTAACGTCGCTACGCGGTTAGCGTTCTTCCCTCCAAAGAGGCGGGAGCTCCAGGAACTTTCTATCGCTTGGTCACAACCTCCAGCAACGAGGAGGAGGAATGTCACAATCAACCACCGAGAATAAGAGCTATGAGGATCTCCAGACGGTATTCACCGGTCGCATGCGATCACTGTCAAATTCATTTAGTAGGGATGTTGGTGAGCTTTGGAGAAAGACATCCTTGCAATCTCTGTCGGTGTTGTGGAATGCCAATGACCCTGTAAAGGGAGACTCTAATAATATAGCATCTAGCGCCGAACTGAGCTCTGCTAGCTCGTCTAGCTCGTCATCGTCTACTCTGGTGTCTAGTGCAACATCAGCTTGGGGTGTGGTGGGCAACAACGACTGCAAGGGTAGCTCAGCTGCTTCCCTCCCTGCCCTGGTCAAAGTGAAGACAGTAATGGAGAAGCAGGGATCTATAGTCGATATTGTCTCATCGCCTCCCGTGTCGCCATCGATGCTCCATCCAGACAGTCTGATGAATCGCAGGTCTAGATCTAGCTCGACTTCACACCAGCGACGTAAAGAGTCATTGAGTCTACCGGCTCCTATAATGCTGACGCCACCCATCACGCCTGAAAGACTGCCGGTCGTCGATGCTGTAGTATCTGATACCACGGAAATAGCTCCTTTGGCAGAGGCTAATCTGGCACATTGCAACCCCGACAATAAACCTCCTCTGGCAGGATCTGTAAATATAGCTAATGCCGAAACTGTAAATAATACCATTGACGCATCTGCAAGCACGGCAAACAAGTTTGAGGGGATAACGATAACCCAACGACCAAGCACTGAAACACCCATACAAGACTATAAACACGAAGATATCCTAATCGCAGCTACTGAAATCGATGAAATAATACTGTGCCCTGAATCGCCAGATAGTCCTAATAGCCCTAGTAATTCGGATGCACCGCCAACACCCAAACTGAATTTTTGGAGAAGGTCGCTGTTGAGTATATCAACAGTATCTATTAAATCACCTCCAACTAGTACTAATAATAGTAATATGTCGCCGTTATCTACACCACAATCAACACCAGCATCTAGTCCCATTTTGGAAGACGCTGACTCACCGACCAAACCGGCCTTATCTAGAGACGAACTCCTGGCTCGCACCGACCAATTCGGCTTTGTAATGTCGACTACAGCAGTGGATGAAGGCTCACGTGCTCCATCGTCTAAAGACGTGTCTCGCTCCATGAAATGGAAAGCCATGGCCATACCAGTCAAATCCGAAACAAATGCACCCTTTATGAAATACACATTCCCAACATCCGAGAAACTCATCCGTCGATGCTCAAAAGGAATCCCGCATGAATGGCGCGGCGCCGTGTGGTACTGGCTAATCACGTCGTCATCGGGACTCTACAGTAGCGATATTACCGTCGACGAACAGATCCGACTCGAACATGAGCTGTTGGCCGAGTATCAGGACTTCCAGACACGGACTTGGGAGTACGATTATCATATCTCGCTGGATATACCACGAACGTTCCCAAACCATTATTCGTTTATGGGAGGAAGCAAGAAGGGACAGAAGACGCTGTTTAGGTTGATGAAGGGGTTGTCTCAGAAATATCCGAATATTGGATACGTGCAGGGCATGTGTCTTATAGGAGCTACGTTGTTACTCGTTATGAGTGAAGAGGTACGTGCGTCGTGATGAATGCATTATTCCTTTGTAGAAGATGCTTTATTTTTGTTGACTCTTTGATTTGATGGTTTCGCTTTTCCAATTTTTCTATTACAAGCTCTAAACTTTCAATCCAAATTTAGATGGCCTATATTGCTCTCGTACATCTCTTCTCTGACAATCCTAAAAACTACTACCGGCTCAACCACCTATACAGTCCTGGCTTCCCGGGCCTAATGGAAACAGATCGCTTGATTGATGCTTTGACTGATATCGTAAGTGCTGGTCGCATTCCTTCTTACCTCAAACTCTCAAACCAATAAAACTCTCCAACTCTCCTTGAATCTCAGTATTGTCCACGCATTCGAGACCGCCTCCGTGCCCTCGGCATCGATTCCAAGATCTTCACAACGAAATGGGTCGTGACGCTCTTCATCGGGTGCTGTAACTTGAATCCGCATCGTGAGAGTGATCCCTCAACCGAAGGGCTATTGCCGTTTCGTGTAGTATTGCGCATCTGGGATTTAATCTTTCTGCATGGCTGGGACATGCTGCCCGTTTGTGCAGTGTCTATACTCAAGTGGTATGAGGGTATGTATAGAAAATCAATGTGTTGCAATCCTGACATTCATCACAAATGTTTATCTTTTCTTGTTGTGCTGCAATGATCATATATGTGCAAACGTCATCTTTTCTTTGTTTCTAGTGGCAATCCTCAGTCTCGACCCAGAAGACTACGAATCCCCTCTCGCAATCCTCCTCAACAACCCGCAACAAACGTACCCAAGCTCCTTCACACAAGGAAAGGCACGATTCTCAGCATTACCCGCTGCGCTAACCAATCTGCTATCACCTACTGGACCACCTACTGGATCACCTGTAACGCCTCATCGAGGAACCAGTAAATATACCCCACAGTTTGCTAATGCAGATGCAGATATCTTTATAAAACTTGTAAGAAAGATATGGGATGGTGGACATCCCAAGGGCAGTTTGCAGATTAATGGACGGCGGCTGGTTAGGAGGTACCGAAGCTGGTGGAAACTGGCTCCTCCTCCAGATCTCGTTGATAATGAATAACGAAGAAAAAGTAATTTCACTAGTATATACCTCCCTAAATACCTATTAGTAACTATAGTAAATAACATATGACACCTTTTGCAACCAACGCACACAAATATACCACAACACGTTCTTGCATCTAGAAAAACATCGTCTATAAAAGAAGCTTGCTTTAAGAAGGGTGCAACTCAAACAAATAACTAGTACTAAAAATATATCCGACTCTTCTTTTTTTCAAAGCTTGGCCTTGACAGGCTCCTTCTTGTTCTCTACAGGCTTGACAGCCTCAAACACAGCCCTCATCTCACGTAACGCTTCACCTATATGGTATGTGAGCCTGGTAGGTTCAAGAGGCTTTAGACCTGTCACGGTAACATGTAAAGACTTGTCTCGAATACAGTATGGGATCCCGTAGCCGTTGGGCACGACTTCACCCCATCCGTATCCTGTGTAGTGTTCAGATGAGATTTGAGAGGTCGAGAGGTTCCAGCTGCGAGTTTCGTCGTATACGGGGTCGGCAAAGATTCTGGGTTTGGGCTCGCCGGCCTTTATTTGGTAGCGGAGACCTAGTGTATGAAATGGATGGGTTGGCATCTTGAGAGCAAATCTCGAGAGCAAAAATAGTCTTGTGATACGAAGCATCATGGCCTTACCAAGCATGTGACGATCACAACCACGGTTCTCTACTGCATCGTTCATGTATGCAACTTGAGATCCAACAGCTTTACGTCCAAGATCAGCTTTAGCCTCAATCTAGGTTTAACCAAAAAAAGGTGGGGATCGCTGGAGAATACTCATACGGTCTTGAACACAAACACAGACTTACAGAGACTGAAGCATCCTGCATAGCCTTCACCCAAGCAACAGATTCAACAGAGACACTGCGACAAGTTTCAGTTCGTCCAAAAGCAAACTTTCGGACTTGGGCACTCTCGTAAGTTGGTTTACAAACACCATGCATCTTGTAGTATCCCAATTGTAGAGCCATTTGTACAAACGCATCAGGAGACAATCCCATCTTTTTTATTTGATCTTTTCCGAAATCACCGAATTCCAATGTGGATAGTTCGTGACGACCGACGAGGTCGTCGAATGCCCATTCAGCGGATTTGACGTGGAAGCCCAATGATGGAGTGATTTGCCATTGGAGTTGTTGGGGACTTGGGAGGCTGACTGATGATGAGGATGAGCCGTGGTCAATCTTGCCCTTTGCCAGACTGTGAGTGGGAGATGTTAGTGATGAATTCAATGGTACGCTCTTCGTAGCTTCGCTTTTTTGCACGCAACAACTTGAACTTACTTTTCAAGTACCCATTCAGTGAGCTTATTGGTAGGAGTACCATCCATCATAGAGTGTTCACCAACAAAACCAGCACGACCATTATCCCAAATCAAGTATTGACAAGGAGTATCCCACCATCGGTTTCTACCATCACCGACCCAAGCAGCTCGACTGCTTTCATTATAGGTCTGTGGGGTACCACTTTCCAAAGCGATCAAGAAGGAGGCAGTTTCGATTTGATCCAGACTGGCTATGTTGAGTGGTGATTCCAACATTTCGTTACGGACTTTGGTCCATACGTCTCTGTTTTGGGTGGTCAATACACCGACTGGAATTGCTTTGGCGTCCCCAGCTGCGTGGTAGATGCGTTTGATTTGTCTGTTGTGAAGGATTGAGATATGGGTTAGTTCGCTGTTTCTGCAAAAGATGTGGTACACTCTGTCGAGTGATTTTGTTTTTAGCTTACTCTTCGATTTCAGCAGTAGAGAGTTCACGACCATCAGGGTGTACCATTGATACAGTGTAGAATTTGTTGTGACGAGTTACAATGATGTGGTTGTGGGTCTTCATATCAGCGACACGTGTCACATCAGATGGGATTTTTGGGATACGACAGGTGTTGAACATCCATTGGAATTGATCCATGGATAGAGGCAATCCACGAGCCATGTCTACTTCCAATGCTTCACTAAAGACGTAAAGAGTACGAGATAAACATAAACACGTTTCAGCATGAAAGCTTGTATTGGAGAATTTTGCGTACTTGATGACCAACTTCTTGAAGGCAAGAGTAGCCTTGACGATTTCAGCTGCTCGACGGACTGGGTTGTTTGCAAGCTTGGGTACGTCCTTGAACATAAAGAAGTAGGACACGTTGACTACAACAGGGTCTCGGTATGCCATATATCCATCACGGTTCCAGTCGTCCAACAACCTATGCAAAAGAGCTAGTATCAGCGGATCTGATCTCAAAGGAGAGCACACAGTAATGCAAAATGTACCATGAAGTGTAGGCCTTTCCAGCAGCAGGATGTGGCTTGCCATCGACACCAGCAACGACAACCTGAGACCAATCCGTCAATGTATTCTTGTTGTGTTCGAGCAGCCTCTTTTGCAAGACTTCACCCTCTCCACCAGGCTTCAAGAATTCATCTACAGCCGCCTTTGTGCGTGCGTAATGGGCATCAGATACCAATGCACGTACTGAACGAAGGTACTTTTCACAAGTAGCCTTCAAGTCAGGTACGGGAAGCGTGGCCATGGTGGCCTGATGCTTGTACATGGGCTTTGATGGGTCGGCTTGAACTATGGAAATGAGAGTTGGGATTGAGATTTCGATATTTCAGCAGCTCGCTCCAAAAAAATTCAAATGTCCGACGATGATGACCAGAAGATTTGAGAGGGTAAGTACCTAGAGTCTTCATGGTTGCAACTGGTCTGAATATAGTGACTGCACTGTCAGGAATCTAGTGGATTTGAAAGAAAGACCGGGTCAAATTTGAATGAATGTTGTGTGTGTGGTTTTTGTGCATTGCATGTAACCGGAATGAATTGATGAAAGCCTTGCGCTGCAGACATACCTTTTTGAAGCTAGCAGCTGCAAATGTTCGCGAAAGAAGCGAGCGAAATAACATGGAAAACCCGGTTTAGCAGCTTGCCTTTGGTTCTTGCAAAAAGTGACGTATGAGCTGCAGGCAAGTTTTTTCAGCGTGTACCACTCCATACCTTCAACACGAAAAGGTGTTAGATCCTTAATAGAAAGGACAGGATCTACGAACGTTCTGACGCGTCATTGTCTTCAATACGCTCGACCTGCGTCCGGTTCTCCTAAAACACAGTTGTTGTAGCTAACGGTAAAACTTGGTTCTGTCCTGCTTTCGAGCCTGCCGTTCCGTTTTTTCTGTCATCATGGCATAATACTGCAATCATTTCAACTCCCAAGCAAACGAAATCTACTTCTGTTCGTGCAATTGGCTCCATTCTATTTCTTGACAGACACAATACATTAGTTTCACAGCCCATTTACAACCCAATGTTACTTTCTTTCAACTAGTATTCCTCATTATTGGGATCAGGTGCTAGTCTACCACCCCACTTGATAAAGTCGTAGAGTACTGATAGGATTGTCACGAGTGTCGTAACTGCCAAGATTGCGGCAGTTATATTGCAGACAAGAGGTGACGATCTGCTACACGAGGATAGCGCAGCCAGCAGCACCACACCTCCAAAAATCCCGTAAAACGTCGTAAGTCTGCCTTCCCAACGATTTTTCCGCTGTTTGCTCGACTATTACTGTGAAAACTCGAGCGTTAGTGATATGAAACGAAGTGAAGTAAGTGAAGTATGAAGCATCCAATACGATCTTTCTGAAACCCAACAAAATAGAAAAGGCACTTACGGTTCACGCCTACGGCCCAGTCGTATAAATTGAAGGGATTTTCAGATACTCTCAAATGCGTGAACATGGATATGAGAATCGTCAACTTAAGTGCTGCTATAACACCAATATATCTTCTTACGAGATAGCCAGATCATTCCAGTGCTGGTGGAGTAAGAAAAGCGGTAATGATTCCAACGATCTGTTTAGGGATGAAACGTAAGTTAGCAATTGAAGGTGAGGCTGAATTCGAAACAATGCAAAACAGGTTCATACTACTATCAAGTATACCAGAAAATCCATTGTATGCCAAATCCAGGCCAATGAATAAATCAGTCGTCTAAATCATATATAAGACTCGTCATTGTAGACCTTGAGAAATCCTCTGCTGGTTAAGTATCCTCCTTCGTTCACAATATCCTAGATTTGACTTCAAATTGAATGGATCTTCGTTGACTCTGATGAGACTGTGAGAGAATGCAGTAGGTGGTTGATTAGTTTGACATTTTTGACGCAAATGGAAACGAGGTTGATCCAAAGCCCCTGTAAGAGCTTTTGAACTTGCCAGTCTCATCCTAATACCCACAAAAAGAACTGGATGAACCGTCTTGGGCTTCTTCAACCGTCCCCACAGTCGCCAACGAGTAGTTTGAAAAAATAACTCTGTGCCAAAATATAGAGAAAGACTTACGGTTTCAGCCTTCCGTCTTCAGTGTAACTTGGAGGTGGTGTAGAACCGTCAATCTTAGTCTGATCCAAGGATTCTAGCTCCATAGCCACTTTTGCGATGGTAAAGTTTCCAAGAGGTCATCATGCGTTTGCTTTCGAGATGCTTACCCCAATAATGGCACGGAAACGAGACTAAGAGCCTAAATGCAGCCTTTCTTGAGCCTTTGTAAGGGCAAACCTCGTATGTAATAATGCTCACTGCGTTTGTCTTGACAGTTCTGCAAAAACTGCAATCCCGAAATTTTCAATCCCAGCTTTCGTTTCTCAAAGTTCCGAACTTGTTCGTTTCTCATATCGGTCGCTGCAACTTGAATAATCAGTTCAAGCGAAATACTTACAACAATGGCTTTACGGTTTGATGGAAAAGTTGTAATTGTCAGTGGTGCAGGTAATGTCAGTTTCTTTGTCGATGTTGTTTTTGTTGAACTTTTGCTAGGTTTGTCGAGGTATAGCCCGCAGAAAGACTGACTTCCAATGTTTATCTATAGGAAATGGTCTCGGAAAGGTAATTGATACTTTCTTGATTGTTGTTGCTGGCATCATCATCATCTCAACAGTTGCTTGTCGGCCATTTGGTTTGATGTGAGGAAGCACCAAAGTACTTGATGCAAGCTGAGCATGGCATGAGAGATCTGTTATCATCAATCTTGTGTGCTCCCTTGCCAGTCTTCAATTTCCAACCGAGAAACACAACGAGAACTCGATTTTCGTCATAACACGCCGCATACTCTTTTCAACCACAATGTGCAAACTCTCACCCAAAATCCACGTTCCCTACAGAGCCATGCCTTATTCTTCGCATCTCGTGGGGCTAAAGTGGTCGTGAATGATTTGGGTGGTGGAACAACTGGATCTGGCTCTGGCAAACGTTCAGCAGACCTCGTTGTTGAAGAAATTCGTGCTGCTGGCGGAACAGCTGTAGCAAACTATGATTCGGTCGAAGACGGTGACAAGATCGTCGAGACTGCTATCAAGGCTTTTGGTACCGTTCATATCGTTATGTGAGTGTAGATGTTGATATAATTATTGGATAATTGGACTAACGATATACTGGCTGGAATAGCAACAATGCCGGTATTTTGCGTGATAAATCTATCGGTAGAATGACTGATGAAGATTGGTTTTTGATCTACCGTGTACACGTTTGGGGAACGTATAAGATCACCAAAGCTGCATGTACGTCATTCCGCTAGATCTGGCACTCTATTGTCTGGTGCACGAAGAAGAGTTGCTGATTTATTCTGGTTTGATACATAGGGCCCCACTTCCAAAAACAAAAGTACGGACGTGTGATCAACACTACCAGTGCTGCAGGTAAGCGTCCATGTATTGTGCTTCTTCTGGTGCCAATACTGATTTCTCAAATTTAATTCTAGGAATCTACGGAAACTTTGGACAAGCAGTGAGTTCATCGTTACCACAGAAAGGCATACAAGTTTGATGTTTTCTGACACTGGTATTACTGTAGAACTACGCTTCTTGCAAGCTGGCCGTACATGGCTTCACTCTTTCCCTCAAACTTGAGGTGCAAAAATCCCGTTGTAAACATGCTCGCAAGAAGCCATGAAATTTTAACCGTTTTCATCAACCTTATAGGGTGCCAAGCACAACATAAATACAAACACGATTGCACCTCTGGCTGGAACCCGTCTCCTTGCATCAGTTGCACCTGAGCAAGTCTTGAAGGCCCTAGACCCCGCAAAGGTTACTCCTCTCGTCGCATGGCTCACTCACGACTCGTGCACAGAATCAGGCTCCTTATTCGAAGTCGGTGCCGGTTGGATGGCCAAGTTGAGACGCGAGCGTAGTGAAGGTGTTCAATTCAAATTGGACGAGAACTTCACTCCACAAGTCGTAAATGCTCGATGGAACGAAATTACCAGCTTCTCGAGAAAGAATGAATATCCCGGAGAACTTAATGTTGGTGGTGGTGCTTCTCTTGCTGTGAGTGTTTGGAAAACGATCGTGTTCAAGGGGTTTATATGGGTGATTCTCATCGACTTCGTGTTTATTAGCAACGTTTAGAAAAGGCCCGTAACTCTCCAGCCAATCCCAAACTGCCCAACATGGAATTTGATGGTCGTGTTGTTATTGTTACTGGTATGCCCTTACAAAAATGCGAAATGCTTTGCACCTCGGTTTATTTCTTAGCCCCTTCTCAAATGCTGTCAACTTTTAGGCGCTGGAGCTGGATTGGGACGTGCTTACGCTCTTTTGTTCGGCAAGTTGGGGGCCAAAGTGGTCGTTAATGATCTAGGTAAGGGATGGAGTACTTTTTGGTTGTGGCTCATATAATAACTTTACAATTCTTTATAATAATCTTGCAGGTGGTTCTGCTTTTGGTCAAGGTGCATCAAAGAACGCCGCAGATACAGTTGTAGACGAAATCCGTGCTGCTGGTGGAACAGCTGTCGCCAACTACGATTCAGTCGTCGAAGGAGAGAAGATCGTAGCCACCGGTAAGTTGCACATTGAAAGGTCACCCGCAATATTGCAATAAGATCTAATACGATTTCATGTCACAATGTAGCTGTGAAGGCGTTCGGAACCGTACACGTTGTCGTTAACAATGCCGGTGTGTTGCTCGAATATCTGATGTTGATTTGTAACCCCAGTAACTCAAACAACAAAAACGTTTCCAGGAATTTTGAGAGACAAGTCTTTCCAACGCATGTCAGACGAAGACTGGCAATTGATTTTCAATGTCCATTTACATGGATCATACAAAGGTATGAAGCGCAAGGTTGCTGTTTTCGCAATCCCCTATTTGAACGGCGTGTTTTCCGCAATCACCCCTGACACTTTTACCAACCAATTAGTGATTCGTGCTGCATGGGAATACATGAAGAACCAGAACTATGGCGTATGTTGTTTACATGTGTTGACTCCAATAGTTGCAACCCTTTAAAAACACCTCACACATTCAGAGAATCATCACAACTTGCTCCACCGTGGGTATCTACGGAAACTTTGGGCAGACCAACTATTCCGCTGCCAAAGCTGGTAAGCTATTTTCGACTCGCCTCGGCATAAATTGAGATCTGATTTCCCTCACCAACATTTTAGCCGTTATCGCACTCGCCAACACTTGTGCCTTTGAGGGCGCCAAGAACAACATTTTGGCCAACTGCATTGCGCCATCAGGTGCGCTTTCATTCCCTTTCTTCTGAACTTTCATGCCTTTGCAATGAGTCTTTGCAACTCTTTAACAACGCATATTTCAAACACAGCTGGAACTCGATTGACTGCAACAGTCATGCCAGAAGATGTCGTCAAGGTCCTTGATCCCGCATTCGTAGCACCAGCAATCGTCAAACTCGTAAGTAAGGAGTTACGCGCCCCCGTGAGAAGTGATTTACTGAACTCTTCCAACCACTTTAGTGCCACGACTCTTCAACCGTAACTGGCCGCCTATTCGAAGTTGGTGTCGGTGCCGTTCAAGAGACACGTTGGGAGAGAACCAAAGGAGTGGGCTTTAAACACGATGCACCATTAAGCCCCGAGGACATCAAGAGCAAATGGAGCGAAATTACCGACTTCTCCAAAGGAACATCTCACCCAACCAGCACTGCCGAGGCTACCCGTGCTGCTTATGAGAATGCTGGCCTTGTCGCACGTGCCAAAGTTTAAAAGAGATCTCATTTTTACATTTCTTTTCGTGATTGAAAATACAAAAAATTCACTCTCTCCAGTATCGATGGGTGTAGCTTACAAGCATTATGTTCACGCTTGTTTAACACCATCAGCGACCACAGTGCATCGGAAGCTATTAGGAATAATGTCATGGCAATTCTTTAAGATTTGGCCAGAACGGGTATCAATAGTAGATCGGCCAGCCAAGATTGGGACCATTGGTGGCGACATTGCCGTGCTTCCATGGAAACTGTCAAGGTCCCGTGATACTGATATTGTATTGTTGAAAGCCAGGAACGAGGTATCGCCTGACGAAGAACACATAGAATCCAGGAATCAAACATCAACTTCACGAGCTGCATGGCACATAAGACGTATAGAACGGAAATTGGAAGTTGGCATAGAGTATAGTGCAGAGATTCGTACAAGGCTTATAGACGTTTCGCTGGCAGAACTTTTGGGAGATTCGTGGTATTTAGACGAAGCAGGGGAAAACGAGTTTAGGAGATTTCTCTCGCTGCTGAAGACAGGAGGGTGGTTAACTGACAGCAGACCATTGAAGTTGATAGAATTGTTCCACCTAGAAATGACATTTCGATATGGAAGTAAAGGATTGTCAGAAACCCCAGCGGGATCTCCTCATAATGTCGCTAGGCCATTCACCAACACAATCTCCAGAATTTGCAAGTACAGGATGCTCGCTCGGCTACTGATGGTAGTAAGAGTAATGCAGCCAGTAATAGTATCTGTGATAGTATCTGTTGATTTGGCAACACACTTGCATGGTTTCTTATTCTACATGGTTGCTCTGAAAAGGGTATCTCTTTCTGTGGCAAACGTGGCATTTTCTTCTTTGGCGGTGGCAAGCCAGCCATCGACTGCATACGAGAGACAGCTCGTAGCTTGTTGATCTCTAAGACTTTCAATGCCCAAGTGCTCTCTGTATTGCTGCCGTTTGAAAGATGGTGGTGTTGCTTCCCCTTTTTAAAGCTTCGTACTTTGTTTTGAATCCATTCGAGTGCCAATCCTTGAGAGGAGATGGCTACGACTTTAGGTGGTGCCAACCCAATTAGCAAAGGTAATTCTGTTTCAAATTTTGCCTCCTTATGATGGCAAATGACCCACTATTTTGCTTTAGCAACGAAATTCATTACTGAGCACCAGCAAGCACTGAAGGCAAATGGATTGGTCAAGATTTACCTACGTCCTATTGTTAAGGAACCAGAGTATTATTTCATTTTGCCGTCCGACATATTGAACGACCAGAAAACCCTCGAGTTTTGGACGGCTATTATACATCAACTACAAACAATAGGAGTATATCCTGGAGCTGGCGACGAAGACTCTTATGCCAAAGTGTCCGTTCGCCCGGGATGGCAGCTCATGAATGTATAACGGTGTATCATATTAAACATAAATGATTGTTACATATCTCTTGAAACTATGGTTTTGTTTTTACATTCTGTAATCGATTCTTCAGTTCCGGCAAATAGTTTACATTGGTGTCAACTGGGAAACTCAATTTAACATTCAAATACTACTCGACTATCTTGTCGATTATCTTGTCTGGATGTAAGAAATGAACGAACGGATTATGACAGAGTTCGTGGCGTACTTGCCAATACCATCTTGACCAAGTAGGCCAATAATCGTTCTTTGGATGAGCAATGAAATTTTGATTCAGGTATAGATGGTTTACTAGCTCTCCAATCTGTATGTAATCCAATAATACTACAATAATACACCTGTCGTCGACATTCCAACTTGATTTTCCACTGGTTAATAACGGGAGCATCTATATTTTGGATGAATATCATTAGTACGGATTTCTGCAACAACCATAAAGGTACTAACCAGCTTCCAAATCGTTGATGAGGGCTAATAGCTCGTCTTTCTTGATGCGAACAGCGATTTGTGCATCAAACGAATCGAATATGCGATTGCCATGAGCATCCTTCTTAGTATCATCATAGTAATCCTAATCGTTAGGCATCACTAATAAGCTGTCCTCGATGATAAGGCCTGATGAACGCACTCAGATGGGAGAATTAGCAAGTGTAGGTAGTCATACCGCAGTTGACACATTGTTCACATCTACACACATTGTTCACATCGTCAGCAACTGTCACGACTTCCGTTGCGTTGCCAAACGAGACAATAAATCCGTTGCCATTGCGCGGTTTAGACACAACGGTAAACTGGTTTTGTAGTAGCAAATTGTTTTGATCCTCTTCCATGCTCGTCATTCAGGTCAATTTACTAGTTCGTTGAAACAATATTTCCTCAAAGCTTCAGCGTCAATTTGACACTGTCAAACCGCAGTATACACAGTATAAACTCAAGCAACAAATATTTCTATTTTGTTTTCAAAGATATACCAGAGCGAACACTGATGGGATCACAGTAAGGGAATCCTGCTGTAAACTGGACGGGATCGCCTTTTAAACTGGTAGATCTATCTGATGAAGCTCAACCCAACGCAGCACAGAGGGCCAAACCGATATATTTGAGGCGTAATATCCATAAACTAGGGAATTCTGTATTTTTACTGCTCTGACACAATTGTTTTAGCGGTCACTGAGAAAGCAAACCGTTGGCCGTTGCATTCTTGAGGTCTCCGTTGCCATACCATTGCCAATAAGAAATTCAGGACCCCGTTGCGTTCAGACGCGTCCGTTATCGTTGCCGTTCAGTTCTCATGGGCCAACGGAATGCAACGCCTAAAGTGAACCAAAGGGGATATGTATAGGCAGTAGTAATTTTCAAGTAATCAAGCAAGAGCAAAAAACTTGAAGAACAAACATGAGCGAGCTACGATTCGACAATAAGGTTATTGTGGTCACGGGCGCTGGTGGAGGTAAGTGCTTCTCTTTCCTTTACGAGTCTCGCTGAAGCGAGAAATAGTCAGAAATGCATTTGAGTTTTTCCCTTCCTTTGACAAAGGCGGGCGGTAGTTCTTCCATGGATTCCTCGCCCTTCTTAAATTCATCATTTTGCTGGCATCTTGCTATGTGTTCTTCCCTTGTTGTCGCTTGACATTCACCTGCATTCAAAACATTTCAGTAGTCTTGAATTTCACGTGTTGTTTCTGACTTTAAATTTTTACTTTAGGACTTGGAAAGGTACTTGAGTTCATTCGTAATTCATGAAATTGCAATATTGTTTCGCAACGGCCCAAGACGGTGTTTCGATGTTCAATCCACCTTGAACTTCGTGACACGTCGTTGTATTTCTCGAGCCTCCACATCATCCTGACTCGGTGTCCATCTAACCTCTATTTTAACTTCAATTTAGGCATATGCTTTATTCTTTGCTTCTCGTGGTGCCAAAGTTGTTGTAAGTTTTGTATTCGTGTATGCAAAGTGACACATCTTCAAAAATATTAACGTCACATTTCCATTTACAGGTCAACGACTTGGGTGGATCTGTATCTGGAGATGGTGGAGCTGTATCTCATCGAGCTGCTGACGTAGTTGTCAATGAAATCGTTGCCAACAAGGGCGTTGCAGGTAAAAAAATCTGTTAAATTCAGTTGGACTTTTATCATTTGAATTTCTAATGCGTCCATATTCCTGCAGTCGCCAACTATGATTCTGTCGAAGATGGAGACAAGATTATTGAAACCGGTAAGATTTCGTATTCGAAAGTCATTGCATTTTGTAAAACACGTTTTCTAACTTGATGATTTTTATCAGCCATCAAGGCTTATGGACGTGTCGATATTCTGATTAACAATGCTGGTATTTTACGCGATAAAACGCTTGCTCGCATGACTGATCAAGATTTTGACCTGGTGCAACGGTAAGCATAAAAGTTGACATATTGAAAGGGCTGACAACATCTCAGAATCTAATTTATATTCCCTTCTTAGAGTGCATGTTCGCGGAGCATACAAATGTGCCAAAGCTGCTTGGCCTCATATGCAAAAGCAAAACTATGGTCGTATTGTCAATACTGCATCAGCTGCTGGCATCTATGGCAACTTTGGCCAGGTAATAGTATGCAGCGCTGCCTTGATCCTTTGTTTGTTTACATTTGCTCTTGTTAGGCCAACTACTCAGCTGCCAAGTACGCTCTTCACGGCTTTACTCTGACCTTGGCTCGTGAAGGGGAAAAAAAGTATGTACGGTATCCGTATATCTGTATGATGGGGTTCCTCGTTATCAACCACTCGCTCTTTAATAAGGAACATACACTGCAACTCGATTGCTCCAGTTGCCGCCTCAAGGATGACTGAATCAGTCATGCCAAAAGAAATGTTTGACAACCTCAAGCCAGACTATGTGAGTCTCGTCGCTCTTGCAATTTCTGGAACCTGTCTATCAACTCGGTTAACTCACACAAATCAATAAAAATCAATTTTACTTCCCAGATCGTTCCGTTGGTCGCATACCTAGTTCACGACTCGTGTGAAGCAAATGGCGGTCTCTTTGAATGTGGAGCAGGATTCGTCGGAAAGCTGCGATGGGAACGCTCAAAGGGCGCTCACTTCAAGACTGATCCAACATTCACTCCAGCTGCAGTCCAAGCCAAATGGAAGGAAGTCACAGCCTTCGATGGTGCTGAACATCCAGTTAATCTTGGTGACAGTGATTGGCTTGCTCATCTTCAGACTGCTTCCACATCACCACCTTTTACTGGAAATCCTGGTGCCTTGAGATATGATGGCAAGGTCGCTGTGGTTACTGGTGCTGGAGCTGGTCTTGGTCGTCAATATGCTTTGATGTTTGCTCGTCTGGGTGCTGCTGTCGTCGTCAATGATGTGAGGGTGGCTATGTACTTTTACTGGTTGTATTGGTTCTTATGTTCGTTTATCTTTTTCGGCCGTCTAGCTTGGTGGCTCTTTCAAAGGAGACGGAGGTGATGCACGAGCTGCTGACACTGTTGTAAATGAGATTTTGCAACTTGGAGGGAAAGCTGTTGCAAATTACAACAGTGTGGAAGATGGAGATAAAGTCATCGAGACAGGTACGGTAACAGATTGCTAAATAATCTTCAGTTTCAGTTTCGGTACTGACTCAATCATTACCAAAATAGCTATGAAAGCATTTGGCCGAGTTGACATGTAAGCTCCAAACTGACATGTAGTTTGGGTTTTCCGTCGGAAAGCTGTTGTTTTTTGGTCAAGCCAAGACTTTGAAGTCTTCCTGCTCATATCACTCTTTCATTCCTTTAGTTTAGTGAACAATGCAGGTACGTAATATTGATTGTCCACCTAGTTTTATATGGTTTGCTGATCCACTGTTTATTGCAGGAATCCTGCGTGATATCTCCTTCCAAAGGATGGCGGACTCAGATTGGGACTTGGTTCACAAGGTCCACTTGAGAGGCACCTACAAGTGTACAAAAGCAGCTTTCGATGTGATGATGAAGCAGAAATACGGCCGGTATGATTCACGAGCTTGACTCTCGTTTGTTCATATGAAATTGCGTCCTCAAATGATCTCTCCTGTTAGAATCATCAACACAACATCTGCCGTTGGGCTTTATGGTGAGACACCCCATCTTGAATTTAGTCATCACATTCACTTTTCTCACTCAATGTCCTTTTTCGTTAGGAAACTTTGGTCAAGTATGTCTGGCAAACACCGTTCCCTCTTTCGATGAAGGGCGCTAATCACGTTTTATAGGCCAACTACTCAGCTGCCAAGCTGGGAATTCTAGGTTTGAGCAACACTGTCGCTATCGAAGGAAAGAAATACAACATTACTTGCAACACTGTCGGTAAGTTGTTTACGTTTCAAGACTTTTGCATTTTGTTGTAAACTAAACGCTTGCTATTCAAGGTCCAAATGCTGGCACAAGAATGACGGCCACCGTGATGCCTCCGGAGATGGTGGAAGCATTGAAACCAGAGTAAGTAATTTCTAGGTGAAAAAGCAGGGGTTTTTCGGTTTAACATTGTGTAATTAGTTACGTTGCTCCATTGACTGGTTTCCTTGCCCATGAATCTTGCACTGAAACTGGTTCATTGTTCGAGGTATGTGCGATCTACATTCCACCGCTTTTTGGTTGCTAACCTTGATTACACCAGGTTGGCTGTGGTTGGATCGCCAAGCTACGTCTTCAATCGACTGGTGGTGTAGGCTTCCCACACTCTCGCACACTATTGCCAGAACATATTGCTGCCAAATTTGCAGAAATTTGCAACTTTGACGATGGACGAGCAACTTACCCAGCAACTATTGGAGAATCAATTGCACGTATTATAGCCAACACGACAAACCAAGGATCTGATGCTTCTAAAGCTGCGCCAGCTGCAAAGAAAGCTGGTAAAGGTGGTTTGAAACCTGGTGACGTTAACGTCGAAGCTGCCAAGAAGATGGTGTTTGAGAAGGACGTCTTTACGTATACAGAGCGAGATGTCATATTGTGAGTCACCATGAGTTTCGTTTTCCTTTTCTTCCCGTCAAATACTCACCATTGTTTTGTTTGTGGATAATAAAATAGATATGCTCTAGGTGTTGGTGCTAAACGATATGATCTCAACTTTGTATATGAGAATTCTGAAAACTTCTCGGCCTTACCCACCTTTGGTGTGATGCCTGCCTTCTTCAGTGTGACGAAGAGCGTCAAGTTCGGCGACTTCTTACCAAACTTCAATCCTGTGAGTACCTGTACGTGTTTGATACATCATCAATAAGGCCTCATTGCGGCTGGAAGCCAACCTAACATCTCAACCAAATTATATATTTTTCAGATGATGCTGCTTCACGGTGAACAGTACATCGTCATCAAACGACCATTCCCAACTTCAGGAACTTTGAGTTCTACATGTCGTATCATTGACATCCAAGACAAGTCTTCTGGAGCCGCTGTTGTTGTAGGCACGACAACCGTAGATGAATCTGGAAATGTCGTCGCCGAGAACGAAATGACTACCTTCATTCGTGGTCTTGGTGGATTTGGTAGTGGTGCTCAACAAGCTTCTGAACGAGGCGAGGCTACTGCTGCTAACAATCCACCAAAGCGACCTGCTGATGCAGTTGTCCGTGACAAGACTACTGAAGAGCAGGCTGTCTTGTACCGATTGAGTGGTGACTACAACCCTGTGTGTATTTTATTGTGCCATTTTCCATTTTTTATCTCAGGTGCTAACCATTTACTGCCTTTTGATAGCTCCATGTTGATCCATCAATGGCCAAGATGGGCGGCTTCGATGTACCCATTTTACATGGACTTTGCACTTTGGGCTTTGCTGGTCGTCACATTCTTCAAAAGTATTGTGACAGTGATCCAAAGAAATTCAAGGCAATGAAAGTCAGGTTTGCTGGACCAGTCTTTCCTGGAGAAACTGTTGAAACTTCAATGTGGAAGGAAGGTTCAAAAGTCATATTCCAAGTGAAGGTTGTAGAGAGGGATGTTATTGTTATTTCGAATGCTGCTGTCGAACTTGCAGGTAAGCTTGAAGTTTGAGTGTAGGGGAAAAAGACCGCTTTCGGTGCAGCACGAAATGACACATATTTGGGATCTCAACGTTTGGTCCTTATTTCTTTAGGTTCAGGTGCTTCTGCCACCGCTTCCGCTCCAGCAACTGCATCTGCACCATTTGGATCCAAAGTCTCTGTCGCTGGATTCGCTGCCTCAGCCTTATTTGAACGAATTGAATCTGGAATGGGTGCTATGCCCTCTGCTGAACGCAAAAAAATTGTCGACAAGACGAAAGCCATCTTCCAATTCGATTTGACTAACTCGGCTAAAAAGACAGCAAGTTGGTTTGTTGACTTGAAGAATGGAGACGGTGCCGTTGGCGCAGGTGCTGCTCCTGGAAAGGCTGATTGTATCATCATATTGTCGGATGACGATTTGGTCAATCTTGCTGTAAGCATGGAGAAGAACTGCGTAACCTAATATTTTTGGGGTTGTCAAACTAATTTGTTCTCTGCCTTTCTCATAAGTCTGGAAAGGGCAATGCACAGACAATGTTCATGTCTGGAAAGATTAAGGTGAGTCCCATCTATAAGGTGTTTTGTAGTCTCTACTTCACTCGTTTTCTTCGAATATTTAACTAATGGATCCTTTATCGATTCTAGCTTAAAGGCAATATGGCTTTGGCAACCAAACTTCAAACAGTCTTCCAAGCGTTCCCTGCTCCATCATCTGTTCCTGCCAAGGCTGCTGCTACCTCTGCTCCAAAATTATCCGTACCAGGATATGAATCATCGGCCATTATTGAAGCGGTAGCTGCCGGTATTACTGCAATGTCTGAAGCGGATCGAAAGAAACAGGTTACCAGCGTCAAGGCCGTCTTCCAATTCGATATTACCAATGATGCCAAGAAGATGTCATCGTGGTTTATTGACTTGAAGGTATTGACGATAATTGTCTTTGGATAATTTTTTTGGTCTTGACTCAAGGTCTTGTTTCAATTGATTTAGAATGGAACTGGAAGCGTTGGAACTGGCGCTGCACCTACCAAGGCTGATGTTGTGATTTCAATCGCTGACAAGGACTTTGTTGCTCTTGCTGGTAAGCGAATTTCAATGCGACTTTTCTGATTGATTGTTAATTTTTTTGCTGGAAAAGGTGGCAAAGCTGATGCTCAGAAATTGTTCATGGGAGGAAAGGTATGATTTTCACTACCAAAGTTTCCAAGTTTTCATTGCCAGTGTCAAAGTTGTTATCCCCTACTGACTTTGCTATACCTTTATCTAACAATCTCTCTTCTGAAGATTAAATTGAAAGGCAATATGATGCTCGCAACGTACGAGATTTTCGAAAGCCTTCGCGATACTGCTGTGATATAAATCTAATTTGCCTTTTTTCCAATAGCAAACTGCAAACAGTGCTTGCTGCTGCACGTCCTAAAGGAAAGATGTGATAACGGAGGTGTATTGAGTAGTTCTCGGTATTTTCTGTCATTGTTTTGTGTGCAGCTGATGTTGGGTTTCCCCAAATATAATATACAAGCATTAGAAAATCAAAACTCTTCGCGTTAAAACATGTTCTTCGACATCAAAAATTCGAATTCAACATTTTTTTCAAGAGAAACAAGTTCGTAACAGAACAATAGATTTTTTTAGAGTTTGGAGTCAGTTGCTGCAGCAGCGTTCCCTCGAGGAAGTCGTTTGGCCACTTTTCGTAGTTCGTCAGGGAAGTTGGTGGAAGCCATTGCTGCAGAGTCCATTGAGCGCTCAGGGTACTAGATATTGGAGATTTTTAGCATCCAAAAGAAAAAAACAATGGGACATGTTTTATTTTGCAACTTACAGCAAAACCACTCTCGAAAGATCGAATTTGCGGGTACTTGGCCTGGATTTCTTCAATGCTGGCTACCTTGCCGAAGGGATGGAAGTATCCTATTACGAAGCAAAATCTTAGATACATCTTCGTGCTTCCCGCCTAGTGAGGGATCTGTGTTGATTTACCTGCACTTCGTTGCCATCTGACCTTGGCAGCCCAACCGGTACTGGATTCAAAGACATTGTTGGTCTCACGGCAGATTTCTGAGCAGAGGTATACGACGAGTGGTGCAACGTATCTACGGTGAGGTTACTTGTTAGGACAAACGAAAGCTGATATTGGATAACGAAAGCTGATATCGGATTCCAGTGTTTGTAAATACTCCGGCTTCAATGCTTCAACCATTTCCGGTGGCATGACGGTGGCACTAGCGAAAAAAAACCCTTCAGCGCTTAAAAAATGGAAGGTTTCGAACTAACGGCTCACGTTAGTCGAGTTCCTGCACCGGGACCAATGACGTTTACGTTAATGTTGTCCTTCATTCCTTCAATAGCTAATGTGCTGGATAGACCAACAGTACCAAGCTTGGCACAAGAGTAGTTGGTCTGAGGTGATTTGTTAGCAACAGGTAGAAATTTGTTCAAATTTGATCTTGTCCTGACATACTTGACCAAAGTTTCCTAACAAAACAAGAAGAGTCAAAAACCTGAGTGACAAAAATGGCTTCCAATACCTCACCATAGAGACCGACTGAAGAAGTAGTGTTTACGATTCTCTACAGACGTTTCAGAATGTAAGCACAAATCTGCCCGAAGTTTTACATCCAAAGCCAAATTTCGCATACTCCGTATTTTTGTTTGCGCATGTGCTCCCATGCTGCCTTGGATGTGCGGTAGGTTCCCTTCAAGTGTACCTAATGCGATCATTGAAAATGTTAGGGATTCAGTGTTTGTGAACAATTGACAGCCATGGTTTGGCAACAGTCAGATATTGATGACGCACACGTTGAATGATATCGAAATCATCGTCTGTCATTCTGGCAAACGATTTGTCCCTGTTTCCCGCATAAAATGTTAGTGTTGAGCATCATAAGTCTGAGAGTGGTAAATCCTGTGGATTGACGACGGTATTAAGACTGAAGCAACTACATACCTCAAAATACCAGCATTGTTGATCCTACGACAATGAAGATGTTAGGTTGAACACATCAGCACTTTTTTTGGGAGGCAAAAAATATTGATAACTTACAAGATATCAATTTTGCCGAAAGCCTTGATTGCAGTGTCAATGATTTTCTCGCCTTGTTCTACGTTGTCGTAGTTGGCTACGGCGATACCACCAGCAGCAACGATTTCTTCGACAACCTATTGTGCATCATATGGTTAGTCTCAATACTAGTATTTTAGGGACATGGCTGGATTCAAGAGTTATCTGGATATTTCTTACCTTGTCAGCGCTAGATTTAGAGGATCCAACTCCGTTGAAGGCACCTAAAATCATAACACAAGCAAGATGGGTCATTGTCGTTTTCCCCCTTTTGTGGGGATGAACTTCGTTTTAATCAAATTACCTCCAAGATCGTTGACGACAACTTTAGCTCCCAAGCTAGCAAGGAGCATAGCGCTAAAAGTACAGCAGTTAATTTGAATGTTGTTTGGACGCATTTGCGTGTTTCTTCATAAACTCACTAAGCACGACCAAGACCAGCACCAGCACCTTTAGAATGAAAGCATTGGTACAATTAGTAAGTTTTGTAGCATTCGGAGACATTAAAGACCAACGACCATAAAAATTTAGAGGGAAATGAAAAAAATACAGCGAGGCGCATACCAGTTACGACAGCAACTCGATCATCGAATCGGATAGCGGTTCCCTGTGGGTTCTTGGGTAGAGCCATAGATTGTTTGATTCTGTCCATGCTGGAGACACCAGAGTTCATGTTGGGGTACTCGTGTTGACTAAAGTCAACGATTTCTCCAAAACGAGCTCGAACTGCTGCGGGAGTGTAACTTTCGTCCAAACGGAATACAGCACCCTTGGATCGTTCAAATCTGTATTCGGTAAACCTACAACGACGAAAATCGTAAACCGATTTTCTTGTGATCAGCAAACACGAATGCTTACCAGTTGGCATTGGCTTCGAATAATAGACCAGTGTCTGGGAAGCTCTCGTGACACATGTATCCGACGAGGGATGCGACATAGTCTGGTTTCATTGCCTCGACACGCTCAGGGCTCGAAACGGTGGCGGTCAATCTGGAGCCAGCAGCTGGGGCCAAAGTATTACATTTGATATTGTATTTGACGCCCTCCTTGCATAGACTGAGAGTGAAGCCGTGCAACGCAAGCTTGGCAGCTGCGTAGTTCTATGTGGAAAATCATCGTCAACAATGCATAGGGCTGACGGCAGCGACTTTCTGATCTCATGTTCTAAATAACTCACTGCCTGACCAAAGTTTCCGTAGACTGATAAATATGATGGTGAGAACTCTTGTTTTATACAAACACAAAATCCAACGAATCTCGTTCAACTTACTTCCACTGGTCGAACTGGTGTTGATAATACGACCATAGTTTTGCTTTTGCATGTGTGGCCATGCAGCCTTGGCACATCGGTATGATCCATAGACGTGGACTTGGTGAATCAAGTCCCAATCTTCGTCACTCATTCTTCCGAAAGACTTGTCTCGTAAAATACCAGCATTGTTGACTGAGTTACACGTACAGTTAGTGTCGGTTTAAGAACCATCAAAGTTCATGGACGGGTAACCTACCTAGAATATCAACTCGTCCGAAAGCCTTGATGGCCGCATCGATGATCTTTTCACCCTCTGTAACCGAATCGTAGGATGCTACAGCTGTTCCACCGGCAGCACGGATTTCGTCGACGACCTTGTCCGCTGCGTTTTTTGATGCACCTTGTCCAAAAGCAGAACCGCCTGAGAGAATGTGGAAGTAATGAGTAAAATTGATTTCAGGCCCAGAATTTTCCGCTTGATCATCTAAATCACATCATCACATCATATCAACTAAATTACATCATCTATACTTACCTAAATCATTAACTACGACCTTGGCACCTTGTTGACGCAAACGTGTTAAATCAGCTTGTATCATTCAAAGACGATACCAGTGGCCAGACAACAGACCTCGGCTCGCAAACAGCAATGCATAGGCACGACCTGGAGATGTATCGGTTAGTAACCAGCAAATGGTGAACAACCCACGAAATCCAAACTCAAGACAAATCAATTTCTGTCAAAGAAAGCGATTGGAAAAAGAGCTTACCGAGCCCATTTCCAGCTCCAGTGATGACAGCGACCTTGTTATCGACTTTATCATTGAAAAGTTCAGTGTGTTAGTTCGCCAGTTTACGCTTTGCGAGTTTTTTAACGCTGTTAGGTGCAACATCAATCCTCTTACATCGTAATGACATGTTTCTACGGATTTAGAGATTGGAATTGAAGAGAATAACAGATCTTAAAGCTTGCCTTTGAATAGCTTGCTTGCAATACTTTCGTGGGATGGAAAGTGTGTTTCGATGTTGTACAAGTCGTCGTGAGGTGAGGTCACAAACGCCAGCACCAAAGGGTTTCGGCCGTGTCGTGGTTATAAGATTCGCGTTGAATGAATGATAACGAGGTTTTGCAGGCATGAGCATGACCTCTTTGGCTCAAAGGTTTCTCGTAAGAAGGCTTCACGCGACGAGACGAATGAAACCAAGGCAATTTCCAAACTCAAGTACTATGCAACTAGTGATCTATTGTACCCTCTTTACGTGTCCATACAGCTGTTTCTACTGCACGTGCAACAATATCTTCGCACTGCTACGTTTGGCAGCTGACACCCTTATAGTATCTGGATCAACCCCAATGAGCTTACAGGTCTCAACAAACCTCTGCAAATCCGTCCTCCTCAAATATTTAAGCATCTTTTCACGTTTACTAACCCATGCTTGCAATGCTCTCTTGGTACCGATATCTTTCTTACATTTTTCTAAATGATCCTGCATGGCATGTATACGTACAGTAGCGATAGCAGCCTGGACATCCGAGCTCCCCGAGTCACCAACCCGTTTACCAAACATTTCCATACATCGCCGGATATTAAATTTTCGGATTCCTTGAGCGTCCTGGTTTTCGAGTGCGATTAAACGACGTACTATTTCGGCACGTTCGTCAACGTTGGGTCGTGTTACGTCCAGGGGTTGTGTTACTAGTTCTTTGGTAGCTAGGGGTGTGTCGTTTAAGAGTAGAGATACGTCTTGTGGTGTTAGATTATATGCATAGAATGGTGGTGCGAGAGTTGACACTTGGGGTATAGGAGTGCCTTCTGCTGGTGCTAGATGTGTTGCTGATGGTGGTAATGGAGCTTCAAGCGTTGCTTTGGGTATGACTTGGGATGGAAGTTCCAGGCGACCTGTTGATGTCACCTGTTCTATTACTTTGCGGGCTCTCTGCCTAATACCAGTATCTGCCACTGGCGTACTACTATTATTACTGTCTGCTGATGCGTCACTACCGTCCGATGATGGCAAACCTGCATCTTTTTTCTGCTGCAATCTACTTCTATACAGAGTCAAACTGTCCCACGGTTTACCAGGTATAATCTCCTGTGCAGGCGGCTGGGTATTAGTAGCCCAAAATGGTAATATAAGCTTTTCAGGTGCTGGCGGTGGTGGCGCTAGTGGATTCCTTATTTTAACATTGGGTCCCAATATCATGCGCAACTTTTCTTGACGAGCTATTATTTTCTGACGGGCCCGTTTTGAGAACGACACTTGTAGTGGTGGATAACGGGAATTCGATGCTTGGGAGGTATGGAAGAGATGTGATGGTTGTCCTTGCTGTATTAGTTGGTTTTTTAATATTGGTGCATACAAGCTCCCTGTGGCTGCTAGAGGAGTCGTTCTATAAGTAGATATTGTTGATGCATGGCTTGCTATCGGCATGCCTCGTCTCAGGGACGCACACTTAATCAAAGTGCTCGTCATCCTCTGTGCTGTAGTTTGATGAGTATAAAAAAATAGACTGTGCGGTCACATTACAATAGGATTCCCGTTGATTGACAGGGCTGAATAGTTCATTTATATGCTATTCCGTTTGAAATATCCTGGCAGATTTCGCCTCACTGGTCTGAAAATTGTTGACGCGTCAAGTATTGGGCCAATTTTCAACTTTAACAGAACTTGACACCAGGAAGGCTTACGGACGCGTCACCACGCTTCAAATATTGAATTGAAGATTGAAGAATTGAAGCAGAAATTCCTCTTTGACAAAATACGATGCGCCTGTCGACCACGCATTCATAGTGTGTGACATTGTAAACAAATTCAAATCTGTCAAGTTCCAATGCAAGCCTAGTTAGTACTGTAGCAACTCATATTTTTGTATCGCTTGTGACAAGCTGTGCTAAGCGTTTCGATTTGTTTTAATAGAACACCGTTCAACATCAACGAACGAAACCCTTTGCAACAAGCAAAGCTTTTTGAAATCGAACAGGATGCCTGCCAATACCGACGTGATTTTGGTTGCCAGACCTGTTGGCATGCCAGACATCAAGAAGATCTTTCAAGTTAGGAAAGGCCAGACTATGCCAAAGGTATGCAACAACTGCATCACATATCGAAACACTCACTTTTAAACTTCCACTGTTCAACTCGAAACTATGTTGCTGATTCACGTTCTCTAGGTTGAAGATGGACAAGTTCTGCTTCGAACGTTGCAATTGTCTCTTGATCCAGGTATGTGGTGTGATGTTTCTGTAGTGTTACCGTCGTGGTATCTTACTAATCCAATCTCTCTCGGAAGCCATGAGAGGCTGGATCCGAGATGACCAACAAAGCTACGTCGCTCCGGTACCTTTGCAAGGTGTCATGAGAGGCGACACTGTCTGTGTTGTCGAAGAATCAAAACATAAAAACTTCAAGAAGGGGGACATCATCCATTTTGGCGTGGGATGGACTGAGTACGCCATTGTCAGTGGAGATGCTCTGAGAGGAAGTTTCGGTGACCTTTTGATACCGTCACCAATTCCAAAGGGAATCCAAGTTTCCGACTATATCAGTATTCTCGGATTGACTGGTTTGACGGCGATGGCAGGTGTATTTGATGTAGGAAAAGCTGCGACACCTGGTCTATTGACGAGCAAGTCGACGTGTGTGGTTTCTGGTGCTGCTGGAGCTACTGGCAAGTGTCAATCGTTGTGGTGTTTTAAGTCGTTCTATCTAATCGTCTCTTCTTATTCAGGAATGGTCGCTGCTCAACTCTACAAGCATATCTTGGGATGCAGAGTTGTTGGAATCTGCTCCAGCGACAAGTTGGACTTCCTTCTCAAAGAATTGAAGCTTGATGCGGCAGTAGACTACAAGAGTCCAAATTTCGCTGAGGAATTGAAAGCCGCTTGTCCCAACGGAGTTGACGAGTACTTTGACGTGCGTTTGTATCTATTTACATGAGAAATTGCTGACGAACAGAGGTGAAAACGGTCGAAAGATGCTGAATCAAACCTGGTCTATCATAGAACGTGGAGGGAATCGTAACAGAAGCCGTGTTTGAGAACATGGCCAAGTACTGTAGAGTTGTGTCCTGCGGCGGAATAAGCAACTATAATGACCCTTCAAACGTTACTGGTCCAAGGAACTACCGATTGATTAGAACAAAGAATGCAGTAAGTTCAGCTATCAAAAGTTGGTATAATTTCTTTCACTTCATTCAACACACAATTTGTTTGCTTAATAGACCATATGTGGGTTCATCGTCACAAACTATGCTCAGAAATTCAAAGAGTATCAGGCCAACCTGATAAAGTGGGTTCAAGAAGGAAAGCTCATAAACAAGACCACCGTTGTAAAAGGTCTTGAACACGCACCAGAAGCATTTCTGATGTTATTTGAAGGTAAAAACATGGGAAAACTTTTTGTTGAAGTTAGCAAGCTATGATCAGTCAATATAAACAGTTTAAAGACGCGTCATGAACACGTTTTTCGGTGTTCGTTCGATGTCAAAACTTTTTCAAATCTAATTGACCGTAATGGAGTCAAGAACTTTGGTGTGCGTGCCCAGCAAACTACAAGTTTCACGATCAAGGTGTTCGACTTAGGAGAGAGTGCATAGAGGAATATTCGTATTACAAGTCTCTTCCTTTGAGACCTGAACAAACATGTCGTGGCTATTCAAACAAAGACATTCAACCGCTAGCTCTCCAACCCCTTCGCCACAAAAATCTCAACCTTCTCAACCCAGTCAACCTCCTCAACCGAGTGCTGCTCCGAATAAGATAGCCGTTGCTTCTGCTATACCAGGTAACTTGATTTTCCCTTATCAATGTTTGGTTTGGTTTTCTTCGCTCGTAGTACGTAGTAACAATGTTGTGAAATCATTTGACAATTGTTTGTTACTTGTTACTGACGCAAATGTGGAAAATAGGGAGCTCAGGGAACGGAAACCAAAGAAATAACTATTATAAGCAGCCATCGCCATCAAATAAACCGTTCGCTTCACCTCCTGCATCACTATCACCTCAGCAATCCTTAGGTGTGCCCGAAATCAACGCTCCGTTACCATCGATACAGCCATCTTCTATAGCATCTCAGCAGGCACATTTACCATCTCAACAGTCATCTGTGCCCGATTACGGCGTAAAACTAGGTATTCCACAGACCTCGATTCCAGTTGGCGCTCTATCACAACCATCGTTCAGTCCATCACCATATATATCAGCCTTGCCATCGCCAGTCATGTCACCTCGAGACGGCTTCGCCGCCATGCCTTCTGCAGATCCATCTCCAGATACCGCAACGCAAGGGCAGCAACATGATCTAAATCCTGAACATTTACGAGACAAGAATAAATATAAACCAACACCGTCTGCCGACCCAGTGAAGGTCGTTGCTCCACCAACACCACCAACTATACCAGTAGCAACGTCGCCTCCAGGTGCAACAGTCGTACCGTCTCCAGTAGTAGAACCTAGCCCAGATCCTTCAGTTGGTATAAAAAATCTCGCATCGCCAATCGCTGAACCTCCTGCTGCTGCCGATGCAATGCCACCAATGATAACTGGGCCTGCGTTCTTAGCGGCCGCAACTAGGACTCGCCTCGTATCAGCGACTGGAGGTCCCTATGTGGCTTCGCTGCCTCAAAACGCAGCTAGTGATAACAGCAACTCGAAAACAGTTTTAGGTCTCTCCACAACCAATGTGGTTCTTTTAGGTCTAGGTGCTGCAGTTCTCTCAGTGCTGATCCTTCTCGTGGTAGTATGGCAACGTAGCAAAGTAGTTAAACGCAACAGTATATTCCCAGTCTACTTGGCCAAGGATACAAAACCCCAGCCACGACCATCGGCAATGTCTCTAAAACCACCAGCAAGGTCTCGCTTTACCCTTCCGTTTATAACAAACCGCAGTAAGGAATCACCCGCTGTGGCGATTGTACGAGACTCTCCGAGGCCGGGACGCCAGGCGGATTCAGTGTTGCGGAAGACCTTCGCAACAGATGATCTGCCTGTAAATGAAGGCCTGCTGCCTTTCGATGAGGAAAGCGGGGGTGAGACAACGTACCAAGTATATGCCCAAGATAGCATCAGAGCTCGTGGTATAGTAAACGACAAAAGTGTCAAGTCGGACAATCAACCACAACCGGAGGTATCGGAACCTGGCGAGACCCAAGATCCTGAAAAGCCATCAAGCTGGTGGCATCACGTCCGTGGTGCTCATCAGTCGCAGTCCACGAACTCTTCTCTATCGCAATACTTTGTGGGTGTCCCGTCTGTCTTGTCTTCACAGTCTGATGGGAGGTTGACACGCAAGTTTGGAGTCGCAGCAAGGTCCTCTGCTAGTGTGCCTTCGTCTGATCGTCAACACAGAGCTAGTGGGAGAACGACACGAACTGTGTCTTCTCTCACTAGCAAGACAGGCTCTTCAAGAATTAGTGGAGTGAGTGAAGCTTCGACATCTGAATCTCTCAGTCGATATTTATAAGTCCTTGTATAAATGTTTCAGTCTTCGTGACTTGCACCAACATAAAGATTGCTCATAACCGTAGATCAGAACTTCTCGCGATCAGCGATGTGTGAAATCGAAAGACACGAATGTCATGTCGCGAGATCTCCTTTTCTGTTCCTGTCAGCCTGTCAATCAACCTCGCTTGCTTTGTCACCCGTAGTAACTGCCACAAAAGCAAACCACCAGCCTACCTGAAGAGTAGTTCAAGAACTAGGAAAGGGCAGACTGCCAGCGATTTCATCGTTATGAAAGTAAGTATCCCTCCGCTCAACATCCAGTTTTGCCTCTTGCGGAACAGTTAAACCTTGTGCAGTTTTTCATGTGCCAGCCAACACACACAGTTAGTCTCAAAATGTCGCAACTGATTTTTACTCCACCTATAGTGAATTCTGCCAATGTATTTCGAGAGTTCTTCTCGTATGATAAATCCATATTGGCCTCATCCGTATCGGCTTCTGTATCCTCATCAAAATCAGCACTTGTTGGCCAACAGCAGCACTCCCATATCACGAATGCGAGGTTCCCACCACATCTTCAGCCTGGAAGAGTTCCTGCTCGAATGCAAAGTCATGCTCCAGAATTGGAACTGAAGCAGCTACGACGGGTCACTCGCACCAAACTCAACAATCCGCAAGTATCGTCACTCCGAGTGCTGATCTTGAACCGTAATCTAGCTACATCTCTCGCATCTGATGGAAGGCCGCCGAGTCTGCTACGTGGTAGAAGAGAAGACGAAGCACTAGGACTGGCTATGAAGTATAAACCTGGTGCTCGACGAAGACATCGTGAGGCAGTAGAAAGAATCTGTGGAGTGCCAAAGAGTCCAGTGAAACCTAGTCATGATAATATAGATCTAGAGTCTCAGGATATGGATCTACCTTCTGGACAAACCAATCAAGCTGCATCTCAAAAGATATCGTCAGAGTCACTCGATTCAGGGTATCATTCGGACTCGAAACCTTATGAAGAAGATCTCGAAGATGTAGTAGGTGGAATGCTAGTTGAAGGATCTATACGAACAATACATCCCTCCTCTAGTGCTGCTGCCTCTAAACGCTCTTTGATCCTGACACCTAGCAAATTATCAAACCTGATCGATTTCGATAGTGACTCGGACGACGATAATCATATTACCATAGTAGATGAGAGGAGGAGGAGCCTAAGTAGCAGTACTAGTGGTAGCAGCAACATCATATTTACACCTGAACCACTTGTCTTTTTGCCACCCCCATCAAACATTTCCGCTTCTGATTATCACGGTATAAGGTCGCTGATGCCAACCGCCCCATCAGGACTGGTAAAGGTGAAGCTATCCACCTTATCCATTTCAAAGAAGCAGACTCTATCACCACCTCGAGCCATGCCCGCATATGCAACCAATAGTAGTCAACCTATAAATGGGCAACATCAGCAATTTCAACAGCAACAACAGCATCATCAGCAGCACCACCAGCAACAAAATGGATTTGGGCAGAGGCTAAGGCAAGAATTATCTCGAAAGCCTGGTGAACCTCGTGTTTCCATGCATGACATTCCACGCTCAGCTAGTCCGACCTTAGGAAAGTCAGCAAGTCGATCATCTCTCGCAAGGTCTTTTAGCTCTGGAGCTCTGTCTCTCTTATCGTCATTAGGATCAGCACCATCATCCAATCACGCAGCTGTAAAACAGAACTTTGAGCCATGGGAAAGGCCACTACCACCTATTATGGAGAATCCTGTATTGAATAATATAGTAAGCAGCAGCCCTCTAGCAACATCAGAACGCACCACATCATTACAAAGGCCTCAGACTCCATCGACTGGCAAGATACCCAAGGGAGCTATTAAAGTCGCTCGTCCTGCATCAGCCATTATATCTCCAGTACTGCCTGAAGAATCTGACGCAAGGACCATATCATCTATAGAATCTAGCGAAGGATCTCGATCATCAACAAACTATTCTGAAATCGAACACTCTCTCTTTGATGATGAAGAGGATGAAGTCGACGAGGATGGAACTTCGTATGAGGGTGATTGGGTTGCGCAACATCAAAGGAATTTGCAGGAAGCTTCTCCACCAGCATCACCACTGCTAACACGTGTTGGATCTGTATTGGATCAAGTGCTAGACTCATCATGGGAGTTGGACTTGAACAAGGGTCTCATTGGTGTAGCTGCTGAGAGTGAACCGATGCCAAAGAGTCATGTATTTTGGCGCAAGACATATTCTGCTGGACGTTGAGTATTAGCATTAAAAGAGGACAGTTTCCTGACGTGTAATTATTGGGGGGTTTAAAAAGTGACAATGAACGTAACAATGTATATGTATTTCGAGATTGATAAGTAGTAAAGTAGTAATAAACAAGTAAGATCGTAAACAAACTCGTCGGCTTGGATTTGTCATCGCGATGCTCGATGTGTCTGCGTCCTTCAACTTACAACCAGAGACTCTTGGACAACCAGAGATTCTACTGAAAATGGCGTATGCTGCCACGTTGCAGGACTGTCTAAACGCGCAAGAGAGGCTGAAAGGGATAGCGAATGTGACGCCTGTCCTCACATCGTCTACTCTTTCATCGATTGCCGAGTGTAACTTACTCTTTAAATGTGAAAACTTTCAAAAGGTAGGCATTTGCGAGTTGAATTGGATCAAGAATTATCATATTATAACTAGGATTTGCTTGTAACTAGGTTGGAGCCTTCAAGTTCCGAGGTCTTTACAACGCTGTAGCTCTCATTGGCAATGACATTGGAAACAAAGGTGTGGTGACGCATTCAAGGTATGCACCCTCGAACGAGGCCGTTGACTGATTTAAATAGCTACATCAACACATTTCTAACATATGGATCTTCTAGTGGCAACGCTGCACAAGCTCTAGCTCTCGCAGCCAAAATGAAGGGCATTCCAGCTACGATAGTCATGCCCCGCACTGCCCCAGCAGTTAAAAAGCAGGCTGTCAAAGGATACGGAGCTACTGTAATTGAATGTGAGCCTATACTCAGTGCCAGAGAATCTACCACCGCCGAGGTTCAGAAACGAACGGGAGCGACACTGGTGCATCCATATAACGATGCTGGAGTTATTGCTGGCAATGGGACTCTTGCGCTCGAGTTTATTAAGCAGGCGAAGGATATGGGTGTACCGCTTGATGCTATTGTTGTGCCAATTGGTATGGGGATGTATGTCCTTGCATTTCGAAATCACTGGACTGATGATTATATTGCAATAGGCGGCGGTGGAATGATATCCGGAATATGCATCGCAGCTAAAGGCCTCGACCCCAACCTTCGCATCATTGGCGCAGAACCAAAGGGCGCTGATGACGCATACAGATCCATGCAAGCCGGCCAACTGATTCCACAAACGGCCCCAAACACAATCGCGGACGGTCTCCTAACCTCTCTTGGTAGTCTCACATACCCGATAATCAGAGACCACGTTGACGAGATTATAACCGTGGAAGAAACCGAGATTGTGCAAGCCATGAAACTTGTGTTTGAACGAATGAAGCTTGTGATTGAGCCTTCGGCGGCTGTTGGTGTTGCTGTTGTGCTGTATAGGCCAGAGTTTAGGAGGTTGGGGGTGAAGAATGTGGGGGTTGTGTTGTGTGGCGGGAATTTGGACTTGGATTTGCCGCTGCCGTGGGTTGGCAAGCTGTGAATGTGCGTATTTGTGTGTGTAATTCTATATGACTCTATATGATCTATACTTTTATATACAATTCTAAAATATGTGTCTATATATTATGCTTCCAAAACTTTTGGGACGACCTGCTTCTTTCGATGTCCTGGTTTCTTACCACCAGCTTTCGACTGGTAGCTGATCTTTTGTTGTGGCAGCTGTGCTTCTGTTTCACATCGAGGACAACCACATGTGAAGTGATAGTCCTCTAATAGTTTGGCTCGTCGAGCCGAGACAGGTGCGTTTGTTTCAATGTATGTGATTGTCAGCGGTTCACCTTCTACGATATCTCTATTGGCTGTTACGGTCATAATAGAGCCTCCTTTAACGTCACAGTTCGGATCACACGAGTGCTAACATAGAAAGATTCAGTCAAGCATAAAGGTTTCACCACCATCCCAAAACCTACACTTACATTGAAATACGACAAGTGAGGAGCAATAGCACGCCCATAACAACTTCCATTGTGATTCCATACCCCAAATCCATTCGTCTCGATGCGAGAAACAAGATTCTTGATTTCCGTCTCGTCTACTTTACGTGTCAAGGCCGATGTCTCGACAAACTGTTTTACGAATCTGATTCCCTTCTTGTATGATTGTTCTTCTTCTGTAGCCCAATTGGATGCGTGGGATTCGAGAGCGACGAGTTCGTCGTATGTAGGAAATGGGAGTGGTGTTGTTATAAGAGTTTCGGTTTCTTCAGGCACGTCGAGTTCCTCATTCAAAGAGCTGTCTATGGCGTCTGTATCAGATACTGGCAGTGGTGATAGTTTTGTTTGATCGGCTCCATTGACTTTGGCTGTGTTAACCTCCTCATTCAGCGAGCCATCTGTAATACCTGGATCACATCCCAATACATCCATAGGCCCACTTATAACACTTGTAACATCCTGATCAGGAACTCCATGCTCACAATCCCCTTCACCATCGTCATCCCCTTTTTCTTCCCCCTCCACATCTGCAAACATCAACACCTTCAACACAAGCTTCAGTACCCCATATTCATGTTGATTAATCTTCAACGCAGCCAGTTTCCTCAGTCCAAGACATATCTTTCGATGTCCCGCTAAGCGATCAAGCCTTCGACATTCCAGTGAGCAGTAAAATGTTTTATCACATTTAGAGCATCGTGTTAGCCAGGATCCATGGGCGTTCTGCCATTTGAGACATGTGGTGCAGACTTTCTTCTTGTGAGAGTCGAATATGCCTGTCGCGTAGACTGACGCTGCGATGACAAGATCTCCTTTTGCTATGTTTTGTTTGGCGAAGAACTCTCGGCCTCTGAATTCAGTGTGCTCTAGAGATATCGGGTATTCTTCGAATACTGCTGGCGACAGCATTGCTGCCTATGAGCAGTTCACTGTTTGGAAAGATGTTTCTTGTGTTTTTTAGCTTTTTGCGTGAAAGGTTTGAAAGTAGTAAAATACAACGTGCTTTTTATAGACGATCGGTGTCAACCCACAGACTAAATTTATTTATTTAGAACTTATACGGCATCACTGCCAACTTGGTTATCATCTTCGTTATTGTCGCCGTCCTTTAAATACATGCGAATCATTTTTGTTGCGAATTTCTTAGTGTCCATGTCGACAATCCTAATATTTGAAGAAATTTTCAGTTTCAATGACTTCGTAGTCGCAAGGATGGTAGTACTTACGCGTGGCCGACATTTGGTAGTGTGATGAGTTGACAGTTTGCAACTCGATCTAGAAACAAGTGCGAAGAGTCAGGACTGGGATAGAAGTCCTATGATTTTTGAAAGAACTCACCAGCAATAATGGTTGCATAGTTGTAGTTTATCAACTCATCAGCTGTGCCATGAATCAATAAAAGTGGTGTCTGCATGTCATTCAGCTGTTCAGTAAAATTGAAGTTTCCCAAAGCCTGCGATGATTGGGCAAGCACTACATCCAATGGCCGTCTATATTTGGCCGCATCTTTTACCATAGCTTCTATTTCCTCTTCGTGAGTCTCACACCATGCAGGCGTATACCTAAACATGGCATTCTTTTTGGCAGCAGCGAATTTCTCTTCATCGGTAGCCGATTCAGCTGGTCTCACAATACGGCCATCGTATAATGGCGAGTCCTTGAATGATTCTGATGCCGTACAAAAGGACACGATGCGATGTAGTTTGTGTTTGTCGTTTTGGGGGAAGAGGGCAGCTTGCAATGCGACTGCACCGCCCATGGATATCCTAAAGTCACAAACAATTAGCTGGAAGTTATAAAAGTTTTGTTGCAAAGGTAAGCTACCCCAAGATGTAGTATATTGGCAACTTGAGATGAGCAGCCAGTTCACCGAGATCCTCAGCTAGTCGTCTAATTGTTATTGACGGCAGTAATGTAGAATCAATCTCGGACTCTCCCATTCTGACGGAAAGGTTGGAAAGGTTGTTTGTCAATGACGTATACCAAGGAAATGCTTGCCGAATACATGCCAACCAACCCTCGGTTCTCAACCGCTATGACTTCTCTGTCAGCAGACAAGTCAATTGCAAGGGACTCATGGTCTTCCTTGACTCCCGATAGGCCTGAGACTTTGAGCAATCTATGTTAAAAGTTGAGTTTAGTCAAACGTCGCTTAAGCGACGTTGTTTTGGGAAGGAGAGCTTACGGGATGGCTCCTTCTACTGGGACTCCGTAACGCTTGTAAGCGATCTTGGCGCCGTCGCTGGTCGTGAAATACTCTGTCGTCATTGTTCGCTGTGAACCAATGGAGCAAAATTCGAATTCAGCAGCTACTCAGATGCAACTTGGAGACTTGAAATCTTTGACTATCCGAATCCTAACGTTTTCATAGTTGAATTATTTTGAGCGCATTGAAAATACGTAACGCTATCTAGGAATGCGTGATTTTGATTTATATTGTAGTATTGCCGGCCTTTTCGTTTACGACGACGGTTTATGAGGTTACTTTTCAGCAATAAATTACGATGTGAGTTCAATGCAACTCAAATCTAGTTTAAAGTGGCAGCATCAGTGCGACAAGATCCATGGACACCACGATGAAGACGAGCAACTTCCATCGCTTGACTAGAAATAACAAGGCAAGCATCGATGTCATGATTGAGTTTCTCAACCATGTTTCCTAGACGGTCCACTTGGCGCTGCAGCTCAGACTGCGTCTGAACTGAGCGTGAGACGGATCTAAAGCGAGTGCGAATAGTCAGGATTCATGTTATTAAACCGTCAGAATGCATATTCAAAGCGCGTTAGGCTTGAGATTACTTGATATTGGTGGCCTTCGAGACTCCGTTAAGCTGCTTGTTGACTTCACGAGTGACCATCTCTTGAATGACATGCTTCAACCCGCTAGTCCCATCAACAGCTTGGCTCAATCGGAATTCAGACATCATAAACTCGATATCCCTCATCCTAAGAGCGTTTTCATTTACATCGCGTTCTAATCCATCCCTACAACAACTTTCATGTTAGGTCCAATGTGACGAAATTGTTTGACTAACGAATTCCAACACTCACAATGTATACTCGATAGAGTTAATTCGTCGACCATTAGATGCCAATTCAGCACCAACACGACTAAGCGATTCTAGAGGTGCGAAGTTATTACGGGTTTCTTCCAAGACCGCTAATCTCTCATCGATATCAATGGTTGCAACGTCTAAAACTACTTGTGTAGGAGTGGTGGGGCGTAGTCCACTAAATGGATTGAAGGGATAATTCTCTTCCATATCCTCGTCATCGTCACTGCGGGGTTCCTCCGAGTCAAAGTAGGTGCTTTTGGAAACCGTGGAAATAGGCTGTTCTGGACCGTCCTCTTGCAAAAAAGACCATTCAGATACAACATCTGACTGGCTATCATCAATATTATGTGCGCCAGAGGTTGCCATTTTGTCGGTTACTACAAGCGATTGGGCAAAATTGTGCGAAATGTGTAGCCCCAATATGTCGGAGCTCGAAATTTTCGATATCACATGGCAGGCAAGAACTGAGTAATATTTCGCGTATGCATTGTCATGAGGAGCACCAGAGCTTGGATTGGTCGCGTTCTGGAATTCTCCTTGCTAAGCAAAGACCTTCCGGATGCGGATTTCGGGTCTGGGTCAAAATGGGCCAAATAAATTATGCAAAGTCCAACAAAACTGTCTCCAAAGAACATCGTAGTAAAGCGAGGGTATTATGATAGTTTAAAATCTTTAGAATTCCTCTTAGTTGTGAGATACCAAACCCGATTATTCGAGCCCATGGTCAATTCTGCGGCATCGTCAAGACCAGGAACTGGAAATCCGCAGACACCATCGATACCTGCCCTTCAGCATCAACCATCAGCGCCCCCAGAATTCGATGTGGTCAAAGAAGATGCAGATAACGTCTCGCTGCCTCCAACCTACGAGTCACTACGCTCAAGTGTGATGGTTCCAAATACAACGATGGAATTTTTACAGCCCAACTCTGCACAAGACCAGCATCTCGTCAAGAATTTCCTTCGAAATCCCTCTGTATCACAGTCTCTGGGCATGAGTGCCTCCCAATCGACGAACTTTGGCACATCAACTACGTCGCGGCTGCACTTGAATGGCAGGCCGTGCACGCCTACTGATATGACGAATTATCAACAACAGCCTCCACAGACAATAAACCCATCGCCGAGAGAACGTGCGTCGTCGCTGCTCCGCAGGTTTTCAAGAGTGCACGCTGCAGACGCACCAATACAGAGTGCAGCACTGTTGCCATTGAACCCAGAGTCTCCAGACTCGTACACCTCGACATCGACAGTCGCAGAAAGGCAAGCATGGCCTCTAGATACAAATCCAGCTACATTGCTTGGATCTCCTTCGATTGGGTCTCCGTCAAGGCAGACCGACATCTCGGCCATCAGCCCACAGCAACAGCAACCTATTCTGGGTGTATTTTTGGAGAATAGGGTCAATCCGACTGCATTACGAGAGAAGTTGGCTGTGAATACCAGTCATGGGTGTATAACGTGGAGGGATGAGGATTTGGTGAGTGGAGCCCGATTCAGGACTGGTTTAACCTATGAGACAACACACTGATCCTTTTTTGGTTAGCCATTAAACAAGTTTATACGGTGGGGCTTCATTGTTGGATACGATATTGTTGATACGACTTTCTCAGGGTAAGGTTTCGTCACTGCAAAAAGCATCTGTACTATCCTCTAACCACACCTATTTCACGACATCCAGATACTTCCTCATTAATCTGTTCGATGCAACCTGCGTCAGCACCATGTTTAACGCTGTAGGCAAATCAGGATTGTATCGTGTTTGTGGTAAGTTTCGTCCCATACTCAGTGGTACCAGTCTTTAACCAAACCTACGACATGATATCCAGGTGTTTTGCTCGCAATCGCCTTCGCGATGGGATTACTCCAGCTTATATATCTGTTTGGAAAGGCCTTATGGGGATTCTTCACCAACGGCCTCCCTGTAATGAGGTCTTTGAGAGCTATTGCTGGTTCTCAATGCAGACTCTGTAAGTCTCTCGCAAAAACATCATAATCACGGATTTTCGAACGTCTCGTCAAATCCTAAATTGTTTCTACTTTATTTTAGACTACTCTGAAAAACTCAATCACCACCACCTATCATACATCTTCCCGTTGATCAAGCAAGTATTCTCAGTCCTGTGTCTATGGATAACAACATTCGTCACCGGCACTGGAGCAGTATGGGAAATCGCTCTAAAGACACTGATGAGTGTTATTGGAATATGTTTCCCAGGATCACATATACTCGCCATTCTTTTCTTCCGATATGTGCTGAGATGCAAGAATGGATTTAGTACGTGGAGATCGTTTAGTGTGGTGAAGTGGACCAACTTTGCGCTGATACTGCTGGGTTTCATGTCACCTTTCTGTAAGTAATTGTGCGTTTGTACTAGTTCTTCCCAATCTTTGCTTATATCTCTTTGTAGATGCTGGCTTTTCTGGCGACAGCACCCTATTCAAAAAAGACGCTTACGTAACCCTCGATCGATGGGCCGACATAAGTCATCCAAACGGGACCCTCTACCTCATCACATGCAACCCAGCACTGGGAACCTGTGATTCAGTGTGCACCCAAACCGTCGCTGACTACATGCAAAGCACCCTCGGATGGGTATATAACGGTACATCCCCCACAGACCCAACAGCCTTCCCAGGTGCCTACCCACCATCCCCAAATCCAACAACAAACCTCGCTTGCTTCGGAGCCTACTCCAACTACTCCGTTACGAATGGCCTCAAAAGTTCGTATCGAGTTGGTTTGCCAGCACCACCAGCAAAGTGCTCGACGACAGGCAAATGCGGGTTTGGAACAAACACGTTTAATTTGAATTCGACATTGACGGCGACGTTCCCATTCACCGTATACAATACCGAGCTGTATTGGTCTACGGATGCTCCTGTGATTCCATGGAGCACTACGAGTGTTTCTAGTCTTCAGTAAGTGTTGGAGCGTCCCTTTGGTCGGGTTGCGGAAGTCTCAAAGTCCTAACATGCGCTTTTTGGATAGATACTTGGATCACATCCAAATTAATGCCACGACGAATGCAAAGATAAATACGTTTTATACAAGCAATAGGCCACGGACCTTTACGTCCGGTCTCTATGATCAGTGGCTGTATTTCCCAGTATGTGTCCTCGTTCACATGTACTTGTCGCTGTGCCCGATACTGACTACGCCCTTCTTAGGTCTTTGCAAAGTACTCCCAAGTCGGGCAGTGTTCTTTTGATTGGTTTTCTAATGTTGGGTAGTTCAAAAAACCATGTATTTAACAGCCATCTCTTCTACTCATACACTGTAATCCAAAAACGTTCATGAAGCGCACACACAATCAATTTCAAAATCAAATTCGAGACTATATTTTCCTAAGTGACACGTAAATGAGGGGTGCGGAACTACAACTACTACTACTACCCCTAGTTATTATACAATTTATCTAGTAGCACGAGCAACAACACCAGCAAACAATCTTCCTTGATGAACAGCCAATTCCATTTCCTTTGGCGAAGGCATCTTACTTCCATCATTTCCCGTCACCGTTCCAGCACCCCATGGACTACCCCCTATAACTTCCGTCTGGTCATGCAGTATCTTGCTAGAGTATCCTAGCGGCACAAAGAGGACACCGTGATGTACGTAGTGGGTCAAGAAGGTGAAGATTGTGGTTTCTTGGCCGCCGTGTTGGGTAGAGCTGGAAGTGAAGACTGCACCATGTTTGCCTATTAGGGCGCCCTTCTGCCATAGCTGGCCGGTAGCGTCCCAAAAGTTTTTGATTTGCGTTGCTGGTGAGCCAAACCGTGTTCTATATGTAATAGGGAGTTGTTAGTGGTTGTGTGTCAGGATAAAAAAGTGTCTGTTTTTAAGGGTTAGTGATTTATGCGGGGACTTGCAACACCCCGAGGAGGAGAGTAAGGGATAGAGGTCTGAGTACTTACGGGACTCCGAATATAAATCCATCAGCTTTAGCCAAGTCGTTTGGGTCCAGTATCGGATCATCAAATTTCTCAGCATACATTTTATCCAGAGTGTCCTTTGGAAGAGTTTCAGCGACTTGGTATACTTCGACGTCAGCGACGCCACTGTCTTCTATTCCTTTCTTGACTAGCAGATATGACGACGGGTTTGTTAAAAACCATTCTCTGTCCAAAATTGACCACTTTCCACGAAGCTTACCAGCATCAGCTAAAACCTTTATATGGCCCCAGACACTGTAGTAGACGACGAATATCTTTGGCTTGCGGGGCTGTATCGTTTCGCTTGAGCTGGCCATTGTCCTTCTATATATACCCTTCTAGTAGCAGATTATGAGTCGTTGGTTGTGTCGCTGACAAACAAGCAAAAAATTAGGTGGTCGTGATTGAGTGAGGTCATCGAACCGAAGTGTGGAGAAGGACGTGTTGAAATGGTGGCAAAGGAAGAAATCCAAGTATGGGATTATTGGGAACAGGACCTCGTGTCTAGATATCCTGAACCTGTCGAAAATGACACGAAATCAATCGAGATCCACGACGAAGCCGCATTTCGAGATTATCTGAGTGCGCCCGATACTGTTCGTCAATTTTATGCTATAAATCACCGTGAACAGTGTGTTAAACTTATCAAGGTTCGTGTCTACAGTATGATCATCAATATCTTCTGGGAACGGGACAACCAACGACTTTTTGATCTAGGCCAAACGCCAGAAATACTATGAGAAGAATATTGCATATTGTGGAGTATGGCAAATGCTTGAGAAGCTTGACTCTCTTGTTGATGAAAGTGGTGAGCAAACGAATTTGCGGAACAGCAGCACGTGGTGGTCAACTCTGCAGACAATCAGAGTTATCGCTGTCATTACAGCTCATGATGCCAGATCATGTCGCGAACACGCTATTCATCACCACTCTGATCTTACACACTCTCACCACACCATTTAGATCCAGATACATCACTCTCTCAAATGCAACACGCTCTCCAAAGCGCTGAAGCAGCTCGTCGTGATGGCAGACCAGACTGGTTTCAACTCGTCTGTTTGATACACGACTTGGGCAAAATACTCTTCTTTGAAGGTGAACCTCAACATCTCGTGGTAGGAGGTAAATTATTTCGTTGCACTATATTTGAGACATTTTTCTTCCTGAAACTCTATATTGACCCTCATTTCTTCGGCTTTGTAGACACCTTCCCTGTTGGACTTCCATTCTCAGCCAAGATTGTCCATCCTGAATACTTTCGAGACAATCCCGATATTCATATTCCAGAGTACCAAACGAAATATGGAATTTATGAGCCTGGATGTGGATTGGATAATGTGTTGATGTCGTTTGGCATGTGTTCGTACTGTTGCAATGCTCAGGTTGGAAGGCTTACGCTATTATTTGGATAGGACACGATGATTATCTAGCCAAAGTCTGTGAATCATACTTGCCTAAACCTGCTTTGTCATGTATTCGATATCATAGCTTTTACAGTTGGCATCGAGACAATCAGTATCGAGATCTCATGTGCCCAGAAGACGAGGAGAAACTGAAATGGGTGCGAGAATTCAATCCGTATGACCTCTATAGCAAGCACAATGAACAGGTACGTGTACGATATTTTTTACGAGTATATCTCAACACTCATGTGGTGCCGTCCAGGTGGATGTCGAACAAGTTGCACCATACTACAAAGGTATCATTGCCAAGTACTTTCCGGAGAAGATAAGATGGTGAACGAACTGGTCGCTAGTACATAATTTATGCATAGTACGTTTGATTGGGTAGTACAATATATCATTGGATGTGACAAAATGTAATATTGCACATGAAACGGCTGAGACCTACATTTGCTTCGACTACATGTTTGTCCAGTCCAACGAAATAGGCATGCTGTACACACATATTTAATTATTCTGCTTGCTTGGTTGGGTTGGGGGGGGGGGGGGGGGAGGAATTGAGTAAAAGCGGGGGAGAGCATCTGGTGCACGCCTGGATGGCTCTAGCGCCTATGTACTAGGTCTTCCATCCTGCAGATTCGGTTTGAGGCTCCTTCTTGCGGTTGGCCTAGTTTCTGTTTTTAGTTGTTGAGGATGTTTGGTTACGATCCAGATGGAAAGCTAGACTCTCACCCCAGTCGCAATGCTCTTCCGGGAATTATGCAATAGTAGTACCATGAGTGAATTGGTGGTGATTTAGGGATAAACAGAGCCACCTACTCGCGAGAAATTGAACATGCGGCAAAAGTTCAACAAACAAGCAACACCGGATTGTTCCAGCTATTCGGAAAAGGATGAGCTGAGACTTAAATCGCATAAAATTTTCTTTGGTCGTTTCGCTTTGATCCTTGGACAGTTAGCATCACCTCAGTCAAACGCTTCTTTGGCAATCGGCCCAATGCATAGTGACTTTATGACTATATATAAATTGTGGAAACTAGTGTACAAATGTCTGATGCATCGAATCCGTTAGGCATATGTAAACAAACCAAAAAAATACGAAACATCTCCTCTCCTGATTACTCCTCATGAGCATTTACATCTACAGTCCCATTACGATCCCCATTCCTTTTCACTCCTTTGGATTTTCGCAAGCGTCCACTCTTTGCCCTCCAATACAGCTGAAACATTTTAGCAGACCAAGCAAAGTTCAGGAATGTCAACACCAGCACATTGAGGGTTGTGAGACTCCATACCAGTGTTGGAGCGGTAGTGAATTCATGGGATAGACGAGTCCAGTCGAAATCTAGTGATGCGAATGCGTGGTACCTATGGAAAGATGTTGCGGATTGATTCAATATGTACGAATCGTCTTTAGATACGATCAGCCTGTTTTTTGCTCACATTGAGTATGGTCCCACCCATATCCTCATTATAAGAAAACTCCATGCGCGAATAAATAGCAGGTTCAACATTGTCTTGTCGGATGTTGTGAAGACGTGTTGGCCATACCAGACCAAGTTGTTTGTCAATGCCGTTATCTAGAGGAGATTTTCGTTACTTATGACGCCCCTGCACCTTGGGATTTTGTCATGAGCGAGCCAAACCTCGGTGATGAGAAAACAAGTCGGGAACCAAGCCCAAGTTTTATAGTATAACAAAGCACCACCACCTAATGTGAATGAACACTAAGTACATTTACAGATCACTGGTATAACTCCAGAGCCTTCGTACCTATCACACCGAGAATATGATGGACCCACATAGTCCAGTGTTGATCCTTTTGTAAACCTATCAAATAGATGTAAGCGACCAACTCAAATGACAGTAAGCTTGCAACAAAGACTTACTCATTATGCCTATATCATAAAGAGAGTACGCAATAAACGAACTCCAAACTAGGTTTAACGTCGCCGAGTACGCATGAAACGGATCATCCTGCAGTAACTGCTTGTTGAAAAAGATGGAATATACTCCAAAGCCGCTCATAATGATGGCATTAATTGAAGAGTTGACTCTATGCGGAGATAAGTGTCAACCAAGTTTCGAATGTTGATCAACATTGAATCGAGGGCACTTGGACTCACTTTTCAGCAACGTAAAGCTTGTTGGTATATGATAAGTGATGATATTTGATAGGATCTATCCATTTTTGAGCGACTTGTTGTAAGACCGTATGTGATAAGCCGTAAAAGAGAGTTATCCTGAGTGTTTGAAGCACGAGACCGATGAATTCCCCCAGCTTTGCATGAGGCATGATGAGCGGATCACTATGAGAACGTGAGTTTGAACACAGGGGACGGTCCCTCTGTGTTGTAAAACCGACGAACTGTCGTCGTTTCGATCGTTGAAATGTTGCAAGAGTTTGTTAAAGAAGGCTTGAGAAGGAGAGGTAGCTTCACAGGCGCCTTACGTGAATTGTACATTAGTAAGTACGGGTCGATATTGGATGAGTTGAACATATTTAGTGCGATCTATTGACTTGGAAACAAGATGTAACGTGTACCTCGACTGCGAAATTCAAAGTGCGGCAAAAGATAACCACACGCAACAGTGAATATTCCAACTAATAGAGAGGAGGATAACGTGATTTATAAGCTTGCATACAGTAGAAAGTACTTCTATCTTCTTGTCTGAATCGTTACCGAGAGGTCACTGACCTCAAACTGGACAAACGCAAGTAAAGCAAGAGGCTGTACACTTTGAGAAAGCCTCATTCTTTTCGAAAACACACTCTCGCAATCATTCTGTACACTATCCAACATCAAAATGGTCGTGGAAACTGCGATTGGCTTAACGGTTTCGCTCATCGCTGGGTACGTTCCAAAAGTTGACCGTCATGACTCCGTTTGTGCGAGAACGACCCCAATGTTGCTTAAAGCAGCCATTAACCGCCAATTTATTTCACGTGTACAGGATTGCCGCACTGAAATCAAGCTACTCTGTGTCTGATGTCACGGCATCAGATTTGGTTGACCGGATTCAAGTAATTGGAGCTTGAGACCCATTCTCTTCTACCCGTTACTCACTTTTCGATATTTGCTCTGTATTTTAGGCGTTGGACAAGCCTATGAAGGCATTGCAAACTAGCTCTCGAATCAGTACTATAAGCAACGATGAAATTGTACGGTTACAGTACGTGTTTGAGATACCACAACACAGTCTAATCACTCTTAACACTTTCAGGTCCGTCTTGTCAGAGCGCTGGAAGCTGCTGACCTCCTCATCCGTGGATTTGTTGGACAATCAGCTGCTCAACGGGTACTGGGAACTGTCAATTATACGGAAAAGTTTGCCGCAGTCAATAAACAACTAGATCAAGCACAGCTTGATTTGCAGACTGCTTTGGCTGTTGAGACTGGTATGGCTTGTACATCAAAGTGTTATAGTTTCGTTAACTTGCAGGCAAATTACAATTTTGTCCCCGCCCTCGTTTTTTTGCTAAGATTTTCGACTATCACTTAGCAAGCGGCCAAGAAGCAACAACCCTCGAAACAGTTAGCATCCTCCTCTCCCTCCTCGACAAGAAGCGCCACGACGCCAACATGGAAGCAGTCAGACAATGCGTCCAATGTAACATGGACTACCGTGAAAGTGAAAACGCATCTGGGTCATGTCACTTCCATCCAGCTCAAACACTCGACTATTCAGACAACAATTCTCTAAAGCTGAGATGTTGTAACGTTACTGTTGAATCACGGAACGATCCTTTTATATTCAACGGATGCTCTACGGGATCGCATCGTTCTGCTCATCATACCGATTACCCATATGTGAATTATCTACTGCATTGGGAAAGAGATTTGGAGGATAATGACGTATGGTTTGAGGTTGAGCAGAGTGATTCTACTGATTGGAAGAGTGGACATCGTTCTGGTCGGTGTTTGGTGACAAGAAACAAGGACGAACGTTATAGGCTCAGATGCGCTTACTGTCTGTTTTCTTCTAGGTGAATTCGGCAAGCTTCGCTCAGGCGACCTGTACTTTGCTGTAAAGCAATCCCGACAAGTCGTATACCTGCAATCTCTCGACGAAATGGACATTGAGGTACCCACCGCGCTGCCAAGCGGCTCGCCAATCGCCAAAATCACAGAGGCAACTACACCACTCAAGGATTCATATAGTGAAAAGAGTCGGAGACAGGGAAAATCATGGTTTGTGCTGGGCGAGTGGTTGATTGAGAATAATCAGCTTGTTGGTGTGAGGATCTTGACCAAGTGTGTTACAGAAAATATGCCAAATGCTGCTGTAAGTTGCTTGAAAGGCGAATCAAACTTTTTTCGCCTCAGAAACCCACCAAAAAAGGCCTAAAGTTTCTCATTCATCTTTTTCTTACAGGAAATGACATTCTCATTGGATCCACTTGGTGTTGGTACCAAGAAACTGATTTATTACAATGATTTGGACATGTCGATGGTTAAAGGACACAAGACGTACACGGCGCATCCACCCACGACTCATTTTACACCGATTCCTGCTATTGTGTTTGAGAGTAAGTGTTTGTGTGGTCGGGGAGAAAATACGTGTCATGGAGCTGGCTCAATGTGTCCACTTTCTAGAAAACCGCCCTGAATTGCCAACCTTCGAACAAGAAGGAGATCTCAAGCTTCGAATGAAGATGATGACACCATTCCGTCTTTGGACTGAGACTGCGAGACAAAAGTAAGTATGGTATTGTATTGGTACATTCGGGAACGAGCAACGGTCAAGATTAGTTCAATGGATGCATCTTTCCCCCTCTTTTTTTCGCATTTCGCTCTTTCTGCATAACTCACCAATGTGTCTCTCACCAACCAGGTGTGACATATTCGCAATCGACCTCCTCCTAATCCACACTGGAAACAGAGCATCGACTGGCAGCACGGTAGTTAAAAAAACTGTATGTCTCTATTCCCTACTTTCCAAAGTAACTAATCACAACACTCACCAAATTATAAACCATCCAGGCACAAGAACGTATGATGGTCCTTGAAATGGTTCGAGACAAGAATATTAGTGTCGCTGAGGCTGAAAGGTTGTTGGGAGCTGTTACGGGGACAGTGTCGGCAGATGATCCACATAGTTTGATTCAAGTGCGGTCGGATTATTCGTTGGATGGTGGAAAGACGTGGATGAAAGGTGTGTGTTGTTTGCGTTTGAGCTATTTGTTGTTGTGATACTTTTGTCGCTCTATTATTAGCTCACATGCTTCTCTGTCTACGTAGCTGACTTCGTCGAGGCAGTAGTAAAGACGGCATCTAGCCCTGAAGGTGTGTAGCCTGCAACTAGGCCACTGACTGGTTCCATTGTGCGTCATATTTCCGCCCTCTCACATCCCCTTCTCTACAGGGAAACCCTTCACCGTCGTAGAACTCGGCCCACGGGAAGCCGCCTCCATGCTCGTAAAAATCGTCGTCCCATCCCCCGACAAGCAATCGATGTGGAACAGCCGCTCCACCATCGCCCGCCTATCCCCCATCCTTCTCAGAATCGCCGTCGAAGAAGCTATGGGCGCATACGCCTCCATCAAAGGCTACTACTTTGACCCGCCCATCGACCCCCTCCCCGGCAAAGACGACAACGACTACTGGTGTGTGTATATCGACAATGCGACCGACTACACCCGTACGATATGCCATATCGCCAAACCACCTGCCCGCGAAGTCAATGAGTATGTCGGGTACGGGACACAGCAGTTTCTGTTTACGATCAAGACGAGTGGTGGCAGTGGGTCGACTATTGACTGGAAGGTGGATGTGCCGACGTATAAAGGGTGGATTACGGATGCGAGGAAGAAGGCGTTAAATGCTGCAGGATCAAGAGATGCTGTGCTGGGACTGTATGAGTCGCCTATTGCGTGGAATCATTATAATGGGACGCTGGTGGGGTTGTTTGATTTGAGTCCTGAGGCTGGGTTTGGGATTTGCTATGGGTTGAAGGTTACGTTGAAGATTGATGATGATAACTGGGCAGAGTCGACGTTTATTATCCCTGCTGAGGTGTATAACTATCATGGTATCTAGAGTGTGTGGTGCCTCGTGCTGGTGCTGTTGTTGAAGCATGCATTATGTGAAGTATGTGGTCGTCTGTTAGTCGCTGTCTTTTTTTTGCATAACGTAGTCATTCAAGTCTATTTGTCAAAATATATTATATTCGAGAGAAAAGTAGTTGCAACTCCCACCACATATACAACGCAAACGTACACCCGACAAACTCAGTACTTGTACTTTGTCGAATAATCCTTTGGACTAACAACCAACCCCAGCCCCTTCCTGGCCCCTCTAAACACGACCTCGACAATATCCAGCATTTCCTGTGTGTTTTCCAATGCCCAGTTAATCTTGTTATTGTTTCCGGTTCCCAGATCAATCATGATGTGCTTGTTTCGATAGAAGAACATGACAGTGCATGGATCGTATAATTCATACATCTTGTTGAAATCAGGGACTTCGGTAATGTCGATTAGGTAGATGATTGCATAGTTTTTGACCTTTTCGGCGACCTTGTAGAGGAGTTCGTCCATTTTCATGCATGTTGGGTCCTAGAGTGGGCGGGAGTGAGTGTGAGTATGATGGATTGACTATAAATGATGTAAAGTAATATCATCAAGAACTAGGTGCAGCATGGATTGACATCCGCAGCAATGTTTGATCAAACATGATTTTGATGTCAATCGAGATCTGTGACTTACCCAGTCATGACCGAATCTCATGATGACGACCCTAGTTTCTTCATTGAGAATGGCTTGATCTACGTGCCATCCACTATGCAAATGAGGTAGGAAATACGACCTAATAGTTGTTGTTTGCGTTAGTATTGAAGTGACGAACAAAGACATACAAGATAACTTACATGATTCAAATATAAGTAAATGGAGAGCACAGAAATGACACTCTTCTCCTTTCCTGTGCTTCTTTTAATAGAATTTTGTTTGTTCTTTTCGTCCGATTCTCGCCGTGGGTTGATTCGCTCTCTTTTCGAAGACCGACAAACAACAAGCAAAATCCAACAAGATGCAGGCCGCTCGAGTTCTATTAAAGTCGAGGTTCGCCGTAAGCGCCAGGCTGCCAGCGGGGCTTACCGCTCCTGCAAGAAGATGGTTGGCTACTCCAGCTGAAAAATCTGAACGTAAGTCTTGTGCTTTCTTGCAAATGCGGTTTTTGTTTGTTGCAATTGCAAGGACAAGTATCTTGATTATGGTGCCCAATTCATGGAGAAACACGTCGTGGATGTCTCGTGCCGCCATGTGCTGCATTCGCATCAAAAACCCACACCATTTGGCAAAAATCCTTTCACGAGTACACACATTGACGTGGTTGAACCTGAAGAATACATCCAAGATATACATGCAATTGTCGGCTGTTTCGGCACGACAATATGGCAGACTCAACCGCGCTGAAGTTTCGAGACGAGCCTATGAAAGTGATGGTCGTGCAACAACCATTTACACGTCCGACGTATTGCTATGACACACACATGACCATGACACTTGACTCTACCGACAACACCAAACCAATTGTAAATCTCACATGATTACACACTAACCGAATCTCTACATAGAATGGCAATCAAGTCTCGAAAAAGTAGGCCTAGACACAACCCACATACCATTCTTCCGCAACCCTTCAAACGCCCAATGCTACGAAGACGCAATCAAATACGAACCAGGCACATTCATCACTTCTGCTGGTGCCCTGTCTGCTCTCTCGGGTGCAAAGACCGGTCGATCTCCCAACGACAAGCGTATTGTCGACGAGAAGGAGCATACTGATAATGTTTGGTGGGGGCCCGTTAACATGAAGCTCGCTCCGGATAGTTTTGCTATCAACAGACAGGTAAATTTTGGGTGACACCGTTGTGTGTTTTTGCTGAGGAGAAAAGGACAAAAAAAGGAGTGGAAACATTCGCAAAATGCGCCATCTATAACTGTGCTAACACTTGTTTCTCCAACAAGCGTGCTTTGGACTACCTCAACACCCGTGAACGATTGTACGTCGTCGATGCCTTTGCCGGCTGGGATCCAAAATACCGTCTCAAGATCCGTATCGTTTGTGCCCGTGCCTACCACGGTAAGCGCCCTCCCTTTTGTCACTTTGTAAAGGAAATCATACAGTTTGAAAACTGCCAGCTACCACGAGACTATCGAAACTTGATGTCACTTGGTACTCAATATACATAACTGACTTGTTTGCTCCTCAACCAGCTCACTTCATGTGGAACATGTTGATCCGTCCAACTGCCGAAGAAGCCGCCAACTTTGGTGAACCAGACTTCACCATCTTCAACTCGGGTCAGTTCTCTGCCAACAAGCTCACTCCCGGTATGACTTCATCCACCTCTGTGTCCTTGTCATTCGACCGTCGAGAGATGGTTATTCTCGGTTCGCAATACGCTGGTGAAATGAAGAAGGGGTAAGCTAACAGTTCTATCTGAGTGAAGAGCATGATAAGGTCTTATTTTCGTTTGATTTTTTAGTGTCTTCACTGTGATGCACTACTTGATGGTAAGCATTGAAGTTGGAAATCGCACGCAAAAAATAGAAAGTTGCTAAGATGCATTTGTTTCTAGCCTCGACAAGGTGTCCTCTCCCTCCACACCTCAGCCAACGAGGGAATGAACCCTGAAAAAGATGTATCTCTGTTCTTTGGTTTGTCTGGTACCGGAAAGACTACCTTGTCTGCTGATCCCCACCGTGCCTTGATTGGTAAGGTTTGCTTGCAAAATCATGAAGTCGTTGTCACTGTCTTTTTCTTTGGGTTTACCGTCCTAAGGGATATGGAGTTATTGATTGATTAACTCATCGTTTCTATCTTCCAATAGGTGATGACGAACACTGCTGGTCAGACCAAGTATGTGGTGATTGCAATGAATCCAGTTGCAAATGCAACTTGGGTCTTCGAAGCGTTTTTATCAAAATCTCACAACCCAACTGTTTACAGGGTATCTTCAACATTGAAGGTGGTTGTTACGCCAAGGCTATCGATCTCAGCGCTGAAAAGGAACCTGAAATCTTCTCTGGTTAGTATTCAAGAAACCCTTTCACGAGGTATTCCAATATGAAACTCCTCGCCAACATTTTTTGCAATGATAGCCATCCGATTCGGTTCCATCCTCGAAAACATCATCCTCGACCCCAAGACCCGCGTTGTTGACTACACTTCAAAGAAGATTACTGAAAACACTCGTGCTTGCTACCCGTGAGTCCATGTTTTGTCGATGCGAAAAAAAAGTGCTTGATGAGGCGAAATTAACCTCTTGAAATACATGTTAGAATTGACTTTATTCCAAACGCCAAGATCCCTTGTGTCGGTGGTCACCCCAAAAATATTATCTTGCTGACATGTGATGCTTTCGGTGTCTTGCCACCAGTGTCCAAATTGACTTCCGACCAAGCTCAATACCACTTCATCAGGTAAACAAAGGAGCCTGATCATATTCTTTACGATGTGTTTGCCTGTGGCACGAAGCTTTGATAGTCGTTTAATGACCTCGAGGGTTCATCCTTCCCTTTTCCACGACCATTTTTCGCTCACCACGATTCTCCCTGAACGTTTAGTGGTTACACTGCCAAGATCGCTGGTACTGAAGTAGGCGTCACTGAACCACAAGCTACCTTCTCTGCATGTTACGGTGCTCCCTTCTTGGTCTTCCACCCAATCAAATACGCAAACATGCTCGCTGAAAAGTTGGCTCAACACAAGACTAATGTCTGGTTGATCAACACTGGCTGGTATGCAATGTTCAATATTCGACGTGTTTTTTTTTGTTTGGCTACACAAATGCCATGATTCGTCTACTAATTCAAATGTATGTTGATAGGACTGGTGGCAAGTATGGTGTCGGAAACCGTATCTCACTAAAACACTCTCGTGCTATTATTGATGCTGTAAGTGTTACAACGACAAAAAAGCTCGTATTGAGATCGATGGATGATCCCACACCTCTCTCACACGCTCTTTTCTTTCCAGATCCACGATGGCTCAATGGACAAGATCATCAAAACCAACGGCACTACACTTCCAGTCTTCAATCTCGCCATCCCCAAGGGCGGTGTCAAGAACGTCCCTGACTCCATCCTCAACCCTGCCTCAGCTTGGTCATCGAAAGCAGCATTTGACTCTGAAGTCAAGAAACTCGCTCATTTGTTTACTTCCAACTTTGAGAAATTCAAGGATGGTAAAGGAGCTGCTGCATTGGTCAAAGCTGGACCAGTTCTTTAAAAAAGTTATAAAGGATATATATTTTAATTGTTTTGGTTTGGTTGGATTGGATCTATTTGAACAAAACGGGAATATATATGTCTTTGAGTAGGTGATGATATGTGCGGGAGCGTGTTTGGAGAATGAAGAACAGTGTTTACCGATGGGAAGATGTTGTTAATATGCGCCGTAAGCACTCTTCTCGTGCTTTGCGTCCATTCCTCTCAAACATCTACAAAAATCCAAACATCACAACCATGAATGTCTGCCGTACCTGCCTAAGATCAGTCATTCCTCAAATCCGATACAAGTCCTCACCATATAAATGGATTTCAACTACCCGACTCTCGCTAGCTGACTCCACCACATCAACAACATCAAAAGCAACTGCAATTCGACAATCATCACCAAGTCCATCTACAATAGCGTCCATGGAAAAGACTATAAATGAAGCTCCGACACCAAAGGTCGATGGGGTGGGAAAGACGGGATTTAATCGTGAGTATGTTGAATGTATGGGTGCAAAAAAAGAGACATTCAAACTTAATGGGAACTTTTCCTTGGTTTGATTAGAAACGACGTTATCGGTTATTATGGCCTCAATGCTGTTTGTTGGATTGATTTCTTTAGCTACAGGTACGATTTTCTTTGCTGTTGTTGTGAGGATGCGCTCACACAAAAAAACTTGATTGCGTTATCGAAAACCACGTTCTGATGAACTTCTCACTCTCACAACAGCACAATTCATACAAGAAGTAACTAAAAAATTCGATGAAGTGGACGCCACCATCGGACGAATGATATCTGAAACACGAGACTTGCAAGATCGTGTCAAGCAATTGGAAGGTGATGCTGCTGCTCGTACGAAGCGTGAGAATGCTAAGCAGGCTGCTAAGAGTGCGTGGATTTAGTGGTCTTGTGATATGACTTGGTTGGAAAGGGCCTCAAGATTGTTTTGTAATTTATGGAGATTGCATATATTTAAAGCCGGTGAAGAAGACTGTAATAGAAGCTATAAACCGACAGTGGATGGTGTGCGTGAGGTTAGCTTGAATCGGGCGTTGGGAACATTTGCAAACCGAAGAAGTTCAGAACAGATGTATATATTAATGCAAACAGAATTAGATTTTGCAACTACAGTTTTGCAGCAAGATATACTCGCGCGTCATGCCTTTCCCCAGTCCACACACTTTCAGCACCATTACGAGCACCAGATTCTATAAGATTCAGTCCTTCTAACGATTCATGTAAACTCCAAACAAAAGACCTAACAGTACTCATATAAAGATAAGTCGACCTGGGCCACCTTCCAACATAATCCTTCATGTACAGATTCATAGGGTACATAAGTCCCGCTGATAGTTTCCTGTTTGAAGAATTAACTTCAGCCATTGCTTTGACTCGTGTCTAGAGGCGTTGAGTGATAGTACCTGAATATCTGAGGCGTGATTCCCTGTTTCGGTTCATACAGTGGATACGACTGAAGCCACGAAATGTATGCTTCACTGACACCGTGAGCACGACCACCAGTTATAAGCAAGTCCATGTACCGTTTTGACGGTGCAACGCTAGGTCTTAGGAAGGTGGAAGGATGCCCAAGCAACGAAACAACATCGTCTAACACGTCGCCATTGTAAAGCACGACTTTAATAGTCACTTGCTGGTATCCGCCTACTCCTTGGTATCCTCCCTAAAAGATCTAAAGTGTTAGCAAACTGAAATCACAATTAGCTCAGAATCACAAACATACTCCTCCTTCAGTCGCCTGTATCCTCAACCATTCCTTCACAGTGATTCTATGTATCACACCATGGCAGTCCGGTCTCTGCTTCTGAATAGGCTGAATTTCCCAGCTACGGGGTAGTAGCGATGCGAATCCTGGCTCAACATACACCATGCCCCTATACTCGAACGACAAGACGTGATCAGGCGCTACACATGGCAGTGAGCGTGTCGGAAATACATTCCTTCTCTTCGAGAGGACAGATTCAGCCATGTTGGATCCATATGCTAACCGTTCAAATTTCATGAGTGAATTGAGCAAATGAACTGTTGATGCGACGAAACATTCATCATTGGCAATCAACCGCGGGCTCAAGGAGCCCGAAATCAAGTTCATTGGAGATCAGAAATGCACTGGTTTGGCCCACTTCCATTGGTAGTCCACGACTTTCAAACTGGCAACAAAAACCAGCCAAAGGTTGAACAAAGATCACGCTCTTACCAAGATACCATACTCGTTCTACTCCGTCATCAGGATCCATTCCAGTGCTCCCAGTGAGTCCATTTGCACTGGCCATCCATGCAAACCACAGACAAACTAGCAAGGAAACGCACAAAAGCTGCTTCATAAATAATGTTTGACAAAGACAAAAACGTGAGGGTATATTTACAGGACGCGACTTTTAATGTGAATATGTGAGTTCTTTATACTAATTACAAATTATTTCTTGCTAGGTTTGGCTTTCACGGCCTTTGCTCCACCCTTCTTTGCTTGTTCTAAATTTGAAGAGTTACGTGTCAGTCGCACTCACCATACTATAACAATGTTCTAAGACTCACGTTTAGACGCGGCAGCATTCAGTTGTTGTTGCTGAGCATACTGAACCAACGATGCAATCATCTTGTTGTGCATTTCAGCATCCATAACAAGTTGTTCACGACCATCCAGCCAGAAATTGACTTGATCTTGCATACGTTGTGTGGCATCAACCATTCTAGCTTTGACGAGACGTAGTTGGTCTACAGTCATTCCTCGAATATCATCTATTGGACAAAAAAAAAACAGTGAATACGGTTGGCACATAGCTTTTCGGCAAGGTTAGATTTCTTACCTTCAGCAGTTTCAGACAGTTTCTTAGCAATGTCCAAATCATGATCATATGCACTAGTCCCCACATTATGTGAATCCAGACTAGTATCCCGCATAGCGTTTCCAGCAGTCGAAACACTCTTCTCAGAATCCGTGCTGCCACGCACACTACCACCGGGCACAGCATGTGGAGGTGGCTGTAGGGTCAACCCTAACGTCGATCCACTAGCAGTATTCTTCTTACTACTACTATCTCCAGTAAGAACCAACCCAGCAGGCTGCGAATCATCCAACGTCAACGGAACACCCAATCCAGTCAAAAACGCTTTACGTAGATTAGACCGTCTCCATCTGAATCTCTGTGCCATACTGTTCTCGTTATATGTAGATTCGGAAGCGAGACGCTTCCACAATGAATACCAGGGCTGTGATGCAAATGTTGCGGATGGGACTATGAGGCGGTTTGGTAGTGTTGCTGGGAGGGTGCTACCAGGGCTGTTTGGCGATGATGTGTTGGTGTTCATGGGAGATCCTGAAGTGCTCATTGTTTGATCATCGCCTTCTTCAAATAGGAGTCCTTCGATGGATGTTGTTGTTGGTTTGCCAGTTAGAGACGTTATCGGTATAGGGAAGGCTGCTGTTAATACTTTTATAGCTTCTAATCGTAGATCTGATGCTTCTCTATCATCTAATGCTCCAGCAGTCTATGTAATGCGTGATTGTTAGCATCATTTCTCGACATGAAGTTCCAATTCATATTAATGCCAACCATGCTCTTAGCCAATCGTTCTTCCTCCTGTAGATCTCTCGGAATCTGTTCATCTTCCGTTATTATCTCCTCTGGTACAGTCGGTATTATGGGAATTGATGGTTCTGGTGATGTGGTTGAAGTGGTTTGCGATTCGATGGGAGCAGCTGGTGTAAAGTCTTCGAAATCATCAAAGTCTCCGAAATCGTCATCTTCAATCACTGCGGTCGTAGTAGTATTTATAGAAGTATCAGCAGTCACGTCGACAGTTTCTTCAGTTGGTATTTCATGCTGTGGTGATTCTGCTACTTCTACCGTAACTGGGGCTTCTGGTATGGGCTCTTCTAAATATACGGCAGGAGATGGACTGCCCGGCATCGCGTCCTCGAACTCGCCACCCGAATCACTTGCACTCATGTCTTAATATATGAAGAAAAGGCGATTACACGTTCGTAGCACGTTCGTTTTTGGGAATCTCGAAAATATTGTATTTACTATAACCTTGCTTTGTACTTACATATAACTATTGGTATCGTATAGCTCACATTTTCGAGCCTTCAGAAGCAGCTGCGAATTTCTCTCTCTCTAACGTTCTGGACCTTTCTTGCTCTGCGGCAAGATTCTCAAGTAACAGAGCCTTTTCAATCATTAGCCGATTGTTGACTTCTTCTAGTTCCTGTTTCAGACGAGACTGATCAGCACATCGTTTCGTCAATCAAACGAGACATACTCACCTTGACGCGTAACTCTAGCATCTCGAGCCTTTGAACCTTTTTAAGGCGTGACCTTCGTGCTATATAAAGGTAAGAAATAGGATCAGTATCAGGTGAATCAAAGGACAACAGGTTGATTATAAAGTCCGGTTTGCTAACCTGCTTCCGTGTTTCTGCGGCGCTTTTCAGCCATATCTAAGCGTGGATAAGGTTAACGTTAGCATTCACTTTGTTCAAAGTCGCGAGCAGCGTCACAGATCTCCAAAAAACAAAGGATCGGAAACCACGTCAGCAACACAATCAACCGTGGTCCGGATCATCTTCCGCCCCGCAACGAGTAGATCGAAGACTGAATTTAAAACTACCGCATACCTAAATTATCACCAGACTGTCCCAATTCCTCATCGCGTTTCCTTTTGCCACGTCGGCCACCACTCGAATGTGTTGAATCCAGGTTTCCATTATCATCATCACTCTCCGAGCCATTATCTCCTATCCCCGTACTTCCATTATTCGAACCACCAAACCTCTGCTCGCCACTTGTCGAGATTATGGGTTGAGGATGTGGGTGTGATGACTCAGTGTGGTATTGTTGGTGTTCACCGTGTGCGGCTAAAACCAATAAGTTTAGGCCTGCATGCTTCACATCGTGATCTTCCGTAGGGTTATTAAGATGTTCTCGTTCTCCTAACGGCGGCGTTGGTGGAGCATTGCTATTGTTTGTTTGTTGTTTTGAAATGTTGGATTCTTTGGGATTTTGCTCCATCAGACCAATAGATGATATGAATATGTGCGTTTTGCCGTTCATCTACCGACCTATTGAATGCCAAACACATTTAGGAATTGAATGATTGTGAGGGAAAACGAATTCCTGAACCAGTCACAACATTTTCGTTTGGTTGACAGTCCCAACAATCTCCCACAATCAGTGCTCTAAGAGCTCGGAATTGACTTACTTTGAATACAAAACTAGTCGTCTTGTAGTCCCTCGTCGCTGAACTATGCGATACTCACTTTAGCGAAGCAATTAGTCAGGGTGATTCTGTTTGACGAAAAAAAATTCAGTGTTTGGATGGAAACGCGAAAAGAACTACAATCTCTGGTCTGAGAGGCTTGAAAGGAAGCATTAAGCCCGTTGAACGTTTTGCTATGTGGTTCTATATGACAAGAGGTTCTTTACAATGTTTTTAGGTATCAAGATTGTTGTACTCTCAAAGACGAGAGTGGGTCGACAGTTTGACGAATGTTATGGTTGCTGCACTGTCACCAAAATCGTCAGTGGGAACATCCCCTCTTCACCCGTTCGGGCATTTCTACCTGACGCCCATCTACATTCGAAAAGAAGCGTTATTATATTATAAAAGAAATGATAAAAATCGTACTTACCCATCTTCGAACGTCTCAAACAGCTCGATTATGTCATTCGACCGCAGCTCTATCTCATCGTCCATCTAACCAGAAAGATTGCACAGTTAGTTTTGCTCTTGCAAGTACCATAAAAGACTCGACGTGTTTTGCACATACGGTGGGCGTGAAGGGCATGAAAGCGACATATTTGACGCTAGTGGTAGATGTGCCCTGTGAAGAGCTCACGGTCGAGCCACGTATAGATGTGCTTCTAGGCGAAGGACCCTCGCCATTAATCAATTTCTCAACAGGAGGCGCCTACAAAACATCATCAGGAGGAATTTTTCGAGAAATCACATAAAAACCGTGGTAGTACCGGGGCATATCCCATTGGCATCGACATCATCATTGCGTCCTGAACGGTTCCTTGCTGTAGCATCAGTTGATGTTGTTGTGGTGGAATGCCCATTGGAGCCTGCATTCCAATAGACGGCTGCTGATTCATCATCACCATTCCCGGCTGCTGTCTCATGATACTTGGCTGCCCTGGCGAAGCCGTTGGGTATGGATATTGGGGATATGGGTTGTGTCCGGTTGGTGGATATGTCATGTTTTTCATAGGGGTTTGCTGTAGAGTGCCCATTGGTATGAATCCGGGCGGGATCTGATGATATTGTTGCTGCTGTGGTAGTAGTGACCCTTGATGCAGCAATGGCTGCTGGGTATCTATTTGTCCAGTCCGATCATGTTGACCTGCTGGTGCTCTACGATTGTTGGTATTACGTCCAAAGCCACTAGTGAATGCAGATAATCTCGAAGCGGATCTTTGCATGGGTCCCTCTATCACTGTGTTGCTTTCGTATCCACGTTGACGTCTCGCATACCCCATAAACCCTACTATAAAGACGAACGCTAGGAATGCTGCTCCAAATGCTATTCCTACTATCGGTCCAGTCCCCAGACTTGTACCTGCTTGGCTGGCAAGAGCAACAACGGATGGTGACGATGTGGGCGAAGGAACTATAGAGGCGTCTGGCGACGTTGGCACTATACTGGCAACAGCGGAAGACACAATAGCAAGTGTTGAAGCTGACGGAGATGGAGATCTTGATGCAGATGCCAGTCTGCTTGGCGATGGTGACGGGGATTGTGTGCAAAAGCTGGAGTAGTATGAGGAAAACTGATTTCGACTGTTTCCGTTGCATTGGACCTATGAAATACCCGGAATATGAGTTGATCTGACGGTTGAATAGTAAACAAGACAACTCACTAGGTCGCAGGTTTGCACCTCCTCCAAGAACCTACAGAACGGAGGTTCCACGATTTAGTCCATTTTCACGAATTGTGCCCATGGAAACTCGCACGGTTACTAAGTAATAAGAATAATGTACTCTGCAATTACTACTTACAATGCGTTTTGACACAGACAGCTGTATGTTGACAGAGGGGATGAGACAGCGCAAGTGTTGGAGTTGGCAGAGACGGCGCAGTATTGCACGCAGACAGGCAAACTAGCAGCCATTTCTATTGCGGTGCTCCACAGAAATCGTTGTTAACCTTGGCAAGAATGCACCGTTCCAGACTGTTGTGGTTTGTGGTTCGGCCTTCTTTCAAAAAATTGGCGTAGGGTCCATTCAGGGGACGTGCAAGATCACGAATGGGCAGCGGAGAGAGGATACGCGTTGATGATCTCCTATTTAATCATGACTCGTTAGTGCTGTTAGTGCTTAACCCTCAACCTAGAATCCATGAAATTGACAAAGCTTCAACACAATATCAATGTTGAACTTCATGTCCGAAATCAACGTGATGAATGGATTTATTGGGGAAAGTCTGGAAATTTACGATTTTAGTTCCGAGATCATTTTGTTTGGTCCCGTTTGCTTCTCCGCAGTTACAGCGTGAGATATAACTCCTGCAACTATCCCCAGAGCAACACCGCCGCCGCTGGATTTCACAGGGCCCATTCCTCGGAAGAGTATTCCGCCAAGCAAACCACCAATAGCTCCTCCTAAATGCCCAAGAAGACTTGTTTGTATCGTGTAGGTTTGTGTTGTTTCTTAAGCACATGCTTTTAATTTCAAGATTTGTGTAAATGTAACCGAAGCACGATTTCTTGAGCACTTAAGCACAGGCTTATCGTACAGGTAAATCTTCTACATACCAAGGCTAGCAAAATTGTCAACACGATTCTGATTGACATTGTAGTGGAGTCGGTAGTCTCTGTCTGCGATACCGACTGCATCGAGTGTGCTCATTTTATAGTAGCCAAGCGCGACCACCAGTGGTGTTCCAATGACGACGCCATACAAGCTTCCCATCGGAATAGCAGCATATACAGGACGTTTGCGTATGAGAGCAACCAAGGGACCTTGCAAGAGAAGCACAATACAGAGTTAGGCAGAACAAACAAGGAGGGACTAGTTAGCTTGAGATACTTACCAATTGCTAAACCAAGCACAGCTCCAGCTTCTGCGCCTTTGAACGCGAGATGATTCAGCAACACACTGCCATTGGTCTTTGAAGCATCAAAGGTGTCCTTTTCGAGCATCTTTCCGTAGATTTCTGCAGATGTAAGGGATTATAAGTTGAATAAATCCCAGCTATATGATCAAGTGAAGCTGCTCACTTGTATGTTTGACAAGTCACTTTCAAGGGCTAAATGTCTGTATTAGAAGGGACAGATGCAATGTTAGTAATTGTACTTATTGGATCTATGAAATCAAGGACAAATGTTATATTTCTGTTTGGCAGCTCAAACTGCGTCCGTCTTGTTGGTCCTTTCCACAACACTTCAACGAGGCAGACGTTTGGTGATTCACGTTTTCGCATCCAACCCAAGAGTTTTCACCGCAATCGTAAGGCAAATTGTATATCTCGTTTCATGGAATGGAGGCTTACCAGCTCGTTTTCCCTAGATGAGCTTTCGACGTGGTAACGACCGAGACAGGGATTTCAACAATCGAGGCAGAGGAGGAGGAGATAGAGAACAAGGCCAGCGAAGACCTCCTGGATTGTTTTCTGGTAATTAACAACTACTTTCACTGTTTACATTGGTGGCTGTCTTCAACATGTTGGGCATCAGCGTCAAATTTCACAACAGTGCAACACTGGCATCACGGACAAGGAAATTTAGTGCTTTATTACTTCTGACACCGCATCGTTTAGAAAAAGACTGGGAATGCAAATGTGGGAACATCAATTGGGCAAAACGGCCAGCCTGTAACGTGGTATGGATGAGTCGTTGAAACACTCGGGTTTGACACCAGCTTTCGATGTAGTTTGACCTGTTATGTCGTAGTGCTCGCAGCCAAAGCCTACTTCAGAGGATGTGCAAAGAGATGGCGCAGGTGGTGGATTCAAAGAACGAGGTTTGTCACTTGTGTGAACGACTTCATGCAATACTTTGCTTACCTAGAACACCAAAACCTTCTTTGATGTGTAGAAGACAGAGTGGAATACAAGGAATCTAGATTCAACGATGATGACGATTACGATGAATTCGGTCGCAAAAAGAAGAAACCAACAGCAGCTACGACATCAACTTCCAAACCACAACCAATATCGAAACCACCATCCACTAGACCCGTAGATGACGACGATCCTATAGATGACGGTGATGACGATGCCGATGACAAGTACGGAGCATGGGCAGATTTACTGGAAGACGATGCACCAAAATCAGCCAAAAGCAATGACGATAAATCAGCCAAAAGCAATGAAGATAGCCGTGACAAGAGGAGAGATTCACCTGAGCGGCCAAGAGGAAAGAACGATGATAGGCCTAGGTACAGTGACAAATCCAAATACGATGATAGAAGGTATGATGATAGAAGGCAGGATGATCGTAGATATGATGAACGAGGTAGCAGAGGTCGTTATGATGAACGTAGACGTAGCCGCTCACCTGATGATCGTCGAAGGGACTATCGCAGATGAGAAGTATAGTTTTCGTTGAGGTGGTACCCTTAATGAATATATGATTACTTTAATATTTCTATTGTTTATTATGTTGTAACAGTTCAGACATCCGATGTTTGATGTTTCCGTGACTTCGAAGGCTTCATTCAATACAATACAATAAAATACAAAACATTTTGAGGCAGCCTAGAATGAGAAGTGAGCAATAGACGCGTAGGTTGGTATCGAAGTAGTTGCATTGTTCAGCAAGTTGGTCAAATCACGCACTCGTCACTCGTCCTTGCCTGATCTCCTCCTTACCTCTAATACAGATCGACGGATGCGATGATAGAGAAGAAGCAACCATGTTGCCTAGCGAGATTATTGAAAAGATACTCGAGTACGTAGAAAATAACGGAGTTGTAGATTTCAACAGTCTTGCTCGGGCAGCTCTGGGATCAAAATAACTGAATGAATGTGTAAGTTCTGTTAATGTTGACAAGTTCGATGATTTAGAGCCCTAGGCCTTTGCTAATTATGCTTCAACAGGCTCTCCGAGTACTCTATAATGAATTACTGCCTCCGCATAAAGCGAATCGTCGCTTCTGTCGTCACAATCTGGACATCATTCTTGCAAATCAGGCATTATTGGGTCAAGGCGCTCTACGACATGTCAAGAAGCTGGAAATTTATGGTCGAGCTGTTGGGCATGCTGATACTACTGGTTCGCGTTGTCGATGGCAAGTGATTGTCCATGACATATGTCATTCCAAGATTCTATGAACCAAATTCAATATTCACTTTAGTGGTGGAATGCTGTATCTCAATGAGCCACGTATCGCTCGTCTCATGGAGCGTTGTATTAGAATTCGTTAGGTCAAAGTCTTGGATTACTTCACCACCATGCTAAAGCACACTCGTGGTTTGGACAAGATTACGTTGTCAGCGATTCGTGAGAACGATATGGATGATGAAGTCGCTCGCTTGTTTGCTATGAGAAACCCTCACTGCACAATGAGTATCGACGTCGAAGAAGTGTCATCAGCGTCAACATTGATGGCAATAAGGCATATAAGAATAGAACACTTCGAAGCTTATTATGTCGATGACCTCGAAACATTGTTACTGGCTTTACACACTTCAAGCTTCGAAAGTCTGAAATCATGCAACATCTATGAGGGTGAACATGGTCCCTGAAAGCTTGCGTGGGTTGTCACAGTTTAGCAACCTGAAGGATTTAGAATTGGGTACCAGCACAGATGTAGCAGCAGATATTAGCGAAGTATTGCAAGGTTTAGCTTCACAACAAGCTCAAGCTAAACTCGAATGGTTGACGCTCAAACTCACTGTGGTACCAGGTCGCCCTTGTACATGGTATTACACAGCTCATTGTCCGTCACGCAACAACGCTCCGTAGTCTAGAAATATATACCGATATTAAATTCAGTCCGCCCACACTCCCAATCCCATGCCTTGAGAAACTGTTGCTGGCATGTAACAACCCACAGACACTCCAGTTGGTATCCACATACGGCAGTCAACTCAAAGGCCTTTGTACTCGCAAACTCGTAAAATGTACAGACTCGCAATTTCGCTAAATATAAACCGACACAAATTAAATGAGGCACGAACGACAAGGTTGTATGTTATATTTCGTCTCTAATCAAATTATTCCTTTTTGGGTTTGATAAATACCGAGTCTTTTGAATCATGTTCGATCTTTGCTCCAGCTTTATCGAGCAACGTGTCCAAGTCTTTGAATGAGGATTCAGCTGATCCTCTTTCCTTCACTTTGATGGGATTCTTTGGGTCGGGCTTCCACCCAATCTGTAGGTGTTAGGAGGAGAGGTTAATAAGTTCATCCATCCATATCAGCGTCAACAGGTTTTTTGGCACGTACCAAATAGAGAACGTTGAAAGTAGCAGGAATCGTGCCATCGGGGTTACCATACATCTCTACCAAAAAGGAATGTGAGAATAGATCATCGCTAAATTTTCAGCAGATAAGGAGCCGTGACACCACCTTTATATATCTCTGAAGCCCTTTGTATCGTCTCACGTCGCAGATATGGTTTTCTAACAAGAGACGAGAAAAGTCAGAAAAATCGTGCGAAGAATTGCCAAATTAGTTGTGACCACTACCTTGAAGCTACAGCATTCGACTCTCCCATACTCCGTAAGTCCCTCATGAGCTCATAAATAGACGGATAACCAACTTGTATCTCGTCCATATCCACTGTGAGGAGTGTGAAACCAGCTCCACTCAGCAAACCTCCAACATCTCGAACATCTACACTCGAAACGGATGTGAGCGAGGCACGAAAAAAGAGCCATGACATCACAGAATGGTTCGCATCACCTGTCATTGGCGAAACATGCGGTGATATTCCACCTTCCTTTTCAGATTCGGCGAGTTGTAGTGCAGTCCTACATAACAACGAATGCGTTAACGGTATCAGTGGGTCGATTTTTTTCGTTGCTGACCTCAATTCAAAAAGAGTTTGCCCTCCCAGCATAGCTCCAATAAAAGGACAATCTGGCTTTAAAGCCTGCCGCACTCTTTTAAACACTCCTATATGTGAGCAAAGTCAATTCACCAGTCGTCGTCGTCGAGTGATCCAAAATAGACAGTGCTTAAAGGTACCAGGTAAATTATTAATCCAATGTAAACTAAAACTTGACAAAACACAGTCGAATGTGTTTTCAGGGAATGTCATATGCTCTTCATCCATCACCAATCGTTCGGTTGGCACTGTGTGTGTTGAATACAGGTGAGGATCAAGTGATGTTTCTTTTTGCGTTGAGCGAGTACCTTCGTATTCAACGTCCTTGTCACGTAGCAGCATGTTCTCTATAACAGATAAAGGTTACTGACCAATTGCAGTTAAGCTTTTACAAGGGTTGAGCCCCTACCTGCAGAATCTATCTGGACGACACGATCCGTCATCTCCTTGTCAAGATATCGTATCAGATACCCAGGACCTGATCCTAGATCCAACACGGTCGGGAATCTTCGTTTAATGTCCTAAAGAGAAAGCTCTTAGCTTCCAAGGACATTGTTGCCAGCTCACAACTTTGCAATACACACTAACCAATATTCTCTCCGCCAATCTCTTTGCAACTTCATCCTTCAAGTAATCGACTTGTCTGCTTTCAGGTTTGAGAGCAGCTCGATTCCTCTGTTTGCGTTTCACGTCACGATCAAAGACGTATTGATGTTGGTTTGATGATTGTGTTTGTGCTGGAGATGGCGACGGCGTAGCGGCAGAATGCGTTGCCAAACATCTTATGACACGTGGAAATCCGTTCTTGGCACTTGACTGCAAAACTGGCTTCAGATGCGTTGAAACTCTCAACACCAACTTCATTGTCGTTTTGTCCCTGAACGAGAGTTATAAACTAGTAGAAGTAGAAGATAGAGTAAGTGTCTTAGTACTAAAATCAGTCATATAATTCAATCATTCAAAGCTTTAAATCATTTCATCCACCCACTTTCTTTAATTCCAGATTTATCAACATTCAAGACAATGGCCTCTACGCAGAATGCAGCAGGACAAGCATTGGCTCAAGCTAAAGAGCAAGTAGCAATATTAAAACAGGAATTGGATGCTATTGCTCAAAAGATGGGCGAACTGGAACAAGAACGAGACGAGCATCAGTAAGTAACCAACAGATCTGAACTGTGCATCAAACTGCAGTTTGAATTTGGAGCCAATGAAGAAGAGAAGATCGTTTATTCATTGATTCCTTACAATTCATTATGTAGACTCGTGTTGGATACGATATCACCAATGGATCCAGAAAGGAAGTGCTTTCGTCTAGTAGGTGGTGTCTTGGTGGAACGAACAATACGCGATGTGGTGCCTGCTGTTACTACGAATATGGAAGGAGTACGTGTTTGCTTTAGTTGCTTGCTCGAGCAAAAAAAGAATATCTAGTGAACGTCAACGCCAACTCACGCTAACATTCTCACCAACACTAGATAAAACAAATCATCACACAACTCCAAAACTCATACAAGGCAAAGGATGCTGATTACAAGACTCTTCAAAAGAAGCACAATTTGAAGTGAAGAGTACAAGCATATGCTAGGTTTTGGTTGCAGAAGGAAGCACAGTTTGAAGAGTATAGTCGTTGAAACTTGTTATTATTTCTTGTATTTACACCCCTCTGTTGACAAATAACATTACACCTTACAACTCTTATTTATCTTGCCTTCTCCTTCATGCAGTCAAATACTCAGATGCTCGCCAATCATCTGGTTTACAATTGCTTTCTTTACCCATAGCATGAACCTTTACGGTACGAGACATTTCTCTACGACTTGTGTCATTAAGGGTCATTACATTCGATTGAGCCGATACCTCTTACACTTCGGGCTGAACCCTTCATCATATGGAATAGTGGTAGGAATCATGGTTTGAAGAGTACTGAAACGTAATGTATTCCTTGTATATACAGCCCTTGGTAGACAAATACGACTAAACATTACAACATTTAACAACTTTATACTCACACACTCTCTATCTTTTTTGTTTTCTCTATCCCTCTCCTTATGCAGTCAAATACTCATCAATGATTGCGTTTACAAATGCCTTTTTACCCATAGCATCAAGATCAACCTTCAAGATACGAGATACATCTTCACGAACTTGCTTCTTGGTAGTGGTCATTAGATCTGAATTAGCCAAGACTTCCATTACTTCGTGTTTAATGGCCTCGTCAGATGGAATGGGTGATGGTGACGATGGTGCGTCAAGAAGACGAGGTGACGAAGGAATGGCTGATAATGCTTCAGAGCGTGGGCGGAATATTGGCTGACTTACAGGCCTTGGTGAGTTGGCCATCATCACAGACGGTGCGTTGGCCATCATCAGAGAAGGTTGTGGCAAGCGCTTTGGTTGAGAATAGACACTGCCAGCATACGATGTTGCTGCGCCAGCTCCATTGTTCATGGCAAACATGGGAGGTACATATTGAGATCCACCATAGCTGGATGCAGCATATACCACAGGCTCTCCTATGACACAGTTGTGAGAATGTTATTATCTGTTAGCTTGTCCGGTTTTTTTCCCAACAGGTGAAAACTTACCAACAGATTCAGCCTTTGAGAATGCATCGGCATTGCGCTTTTGAGCAACAACAGCCTTCTTGGAGACTTCATCTTCAACTTCATTCCATTTCTTCAAAGGGATGGATGAGCGATCAAACTAGTTGTGCGAAGTTCAGGTTAAAAACTAGGACTGGTCAAGAGAAAAAAAACCATTGTAAACACCACTTACAGGCTCAACATCAGCCAGGTACGCTTTCGTCTTGCCACTTTCTCCAACTGCAATTCTATAAGTTGAGTCCCAGTCAGTATCATCCTGCGATGAGCTCAGGGCAGCTACAATTTTACCTCGTGGAACCCCAATTGAAATCGTCTTGTCTCAAGAATGCATAGACAGGCAGATAGAATGTAAAGATTGGCAAAGCAAGTATATAGATAACCATCCAGATAATCTGTGACCATTGTTGCTTGAGCAAGAAGATGACCACTTGTAAACCGTTTATAGCAGCAATCAAGACGAGTGATATCAATGGTAGTTGATCACCACTGAATGCAATACTGTATATCTATAGTAAGAGAGACGAGTGTTAAATACGTCTTAAAGCGCTGCACATAGTCCTTTTTGCTGTTTACCAAATATCCAACATAGATGATGGTAGCAGGCTGAAGGACTGTGGAGAACAAATCGAGAAAGACAACAAATCGCATAGAGAAACAACAGAATCCACAGAGTTGAGGCAAAGTCACCAGCTCAACCAGATTGTGGACAGTCTGATGCAGAGGAATCAGAAGAGTGTGAAATGAATCAACCAAAAAACCTTAATGGAGTAAATATGCATACCGAGTTGATCCAACGACGACGTTGTGACTTCAATACATTCCAGGTATCGGGACCATTTGTTCGACAAATAGCATCTGGAGTGAAGCTTAACTTGAGACGAGGGAAGTGCTTCATAGCAAGAGTAGTCTTAAAATAAAAAGTAAAAATTACCCCAAATACGTGGGTTCCTCTGTTAGGACCTTTTTAGCGATCGAACCAACTTACCAAATATCGGTCTTCTCCCAATAACAATAAGTTCTTCATGTGCAATGTATCAACACGATTTTCAGAGTAATCTTTAATAAGGGCTGGGGATATGAGAAGAGGCACGTTTTTGGTTGGAGTCCTAAACGTAAACGAAAAAAAGTGATCAGTACTCACAATGGATCTGTGGTAATGCAGCGCAACTGACCTGATCCGATACATGCAGAAACAACCGGGCAGACAAGTGACCGATCCAAATAGCGATTCAAATTGTTTCGCAAGATGATGGGATATAAAGTATTCATATACTGAGAATGGGAAGTAACCGTTAGTAAATGGGCATATGTAGAGGAGTTTGAGTAAATCAGAAAACTCACCTTGAATCATTGTAATCACAGAGTCTAAAAAGGAATGTAGTCAGTGCTTCAACAGAAAAGAACAACCTAACATAAGCGTACCTTTCTCATTCGAAAGTAAAGTTTCACCACACAATCCCATAATCTTGGAATCATGAACCATAGCAGCAATAAGACGATTGATGGAATCCGGAAAGACTTCAGTATCAGCATCCACCATGAGCAAGAATTCGTAAAAGGAAGGATTGATTCCAATTACATTCTATAGAAACGTTGAGATATGAGTGGTCCCAAACCAAAAAAAGAGATCAGTTTTTCGAAGGCAACGTCCTTACCTTAATTTGATGAAAGATCTCAATCTCCATGGGATTCAAAGGAGCGCCAAAGTGTACACGAGACAAGAATCGCATGAGAATCAGTTGACTGTCACGTTTTCCTCTGTTACCAGGCTTTTGACGCTCAGTTGGTTTACCGACTTTGACTACCACGAGGAATGGAAGACTGCGACCATTGTTTTCATAAAGACCTGAATAGACTTTGGCATAGTTGAGTTGCTTGTTTCCTTCCCCAATGGATTCGAATTCTAGAGCTGGAGGATCAATAGTTTGGTCGACTCCAAGAATCTCAAGAACGATTTGTGGAGTTGGTGCATTGTTTCCTGATCCGACAATCATTCCTTAAGTGTGAAAAAAGAAATATCAGATATCGACAGATATCGACTGTACGCAACGGCTGTTGATACTTGAACGGAAGTTCACACGTACCATCACAGATAACAAACAAGAGCTTTCGTTTATCATCATACTTGGTAGCAGCCACGGACTCAAAGGTACGAGACAAACTCTCGTTGCTTTCGGTATAACAAGGAACTTGTATAATGACAAATTTATCTAGAACGACAAACAAGGTTCAGAGTCGATCCTTCTGAAATTAACTTGATTTCTTACCTAAATCTTCAGGATCACGGGTAGATCCACATTGCAAGGCCTAGAATACAGTTAATTAGCAAAAAATCTGGGCAAAGGCATGAATAACTTCCACTTACAGCGAGGAACTTGAATCCAATAACACTCATGAGCAATACAGTAGATGCAAGCAAGATGTAGTTGGAAAATTGACATAAAAAGTCATTTCGATGGTCAACAGCACCAATATAGAACATGTTGTTCATACAATTCATTTGCTGTGCGGCCAATGTTGCATTGCTTTTGCGGAAATCGTTCCAAGCAGAACTAGCGTCTTGTCCGAATTTGGAGTTGAAGATGCTTTCAGCATAGCCATTGATACCGAAGGGATGGTTGGCAGCGTTGTAGTAAGACTGGGTAAGTAAACGAAGAAAATGAGTATCCAAGCTTCGGCAGATTGTACTGGTTTTTTTGGTTCCGCAACTTACCGAGACGTCATAGACGTTGTCATATATGATGATGTAACGGACAGACTGAGAAGCCTTTTCAGCAATAAATTCAACGTCGTAACCAAGACGGTACTTGACATATCGATTCATGTACTCCATATAGAGTTTGGTTTGATTGTTCGAGTCGAGACCATTGTGAGCATAACCGCTGCTGGGTCTACTAGCAACATTATCCCATCCAGCTTGAGGTTGAGGAATACCTGGACAGTACATATTCCATAAAGGAACCTTATAAAAGAGATTGCTCACATCCTAGTTTGAAGAAAATTGAGATTCCGAGGAGAGACCCGAGCGTGTTTTTGGTTAAATTATGAAAAGACATACCTGACCCAAGTAGCTTGCAAACTGATAGTTTTGAACATTGTAAGAGGTAGCGTGATTCTTGACCAAGTCGTTGATTTGATATACACGTCCATAAGCTGATACCCAAACATCTTTGGGATCCTTATACGAAGCCAATTCTTGTGCAGTCAAGATGGGTTGACGAGGACAGATTACACGACCAAATCCGATGATGAAGAATAGAAGGGCACAACAACAGAAGAAGATGATGATACAGATTGCAATCTAGGAAGATACGGAATAATCAAATACATTTATTTTGCGTCGATGCGAAGAACATAATCACGCACAGCAAAATTGAAGAATAATTTCGAATGCCTTACCTTTTCACGCCCTGCCATACGAACATCAGCACGTTTCATGCCAGCACATGACAAGATAAAGCTTGGAATACAGCAGGTAAGCGACCAAGTCATGCAGACCCATAGTCGACGGGCACCAGAAGTACGAGCAGGCTCATCATCCTCGACAACAAAGTTCCTTTTATCTTCTACTATATTCACTATCGACGGTAATATTCGTGAAGGAGTTGTTCCAAGTTCGTTTGAAAGATGAGATGAGCGAGCTGTTGCTGCAGGTGATACTGGAGACCTGGCGGTATAAGGAGCAACAGATTCCAAGTCATCGTGATCAGACAAGTCTGCTTGAGATTCATAATCAAGAATGTTTTCCTTGATGCTTCTTTTAGGAGAACCAGCTGATTGGAGAGTTTCAAGTCGTTGTTCCAATTCTTGCCAGACGGATTCTGAGATAAATACTCGAGTGGTGCCGACTAGAGTACTATAGTCTGGGAATACGGCAGTGATTTCTTCACATCGAATCCTAACTGGTTTGTTTTGACTTTCGACACTCAATCCACCAACTTGACCATAACGAGCCAAGAAATCCATAAATGGCAGAGAGGTGTTGAAGCTGCCTTCAGCTCTAGCATTAGCCAGTTCAGGAATAGATAGAGCCAATAGCTGAGACTTGACCTACAAAATGAGGTTTTGTGTTTGAGAAAGGCAGCACAAAAGGGATATACTTAGATGGCACACATACCTTCTTGGTATCAGCTACATCACCAATACAAGCAACATACCATGGTCTAGTCTCATCAATAGCACCAAATAGCTCATCCAAGTCCTTTGCCAAATCATCAGCAAGAGTCTTACTATCTATCGGATTGAAACGAAGACGTCTTGATGGTTGACGTCTGAGCGTTGATGACGAGAAACCTTCTCCTTTAGCAGCTCCTTGAGCAGCGACATGAGACGAGAAGAGTTTCTTCAACAATGCATTTGATGATGGTGGATTGACACCAGAGCCAGCGAATAGCGATATATGGTCTGGCGATACAGCAATGACATTGCGACTGGTAAAATCGGATAAACGATACTCGGTTGTACCGGACGAGTGCTGAATCATAAAGTTGGCTCCACCAGATATCATCAGACCCTGCTTTGATGAGAGATTCTTCATCAAGCTCAAGTCTGATGGTGTGGATTGTTTTGACTCGGTGTTTAGCATGGGGATTACATGGGTTTCCAATACATGTTCTGGGATTGGCGTCAAGTTTGGCTGATGAAGACCTTGTGAGGCAAGACGTTCTGCTGGTTCAATAGCAGTATGCTTGCGGAAGAGATCGACCAGTTTTTCCTGGATATAGTTGGTCAAGAGCCCGTCTAGAGTATCGACCATTGGAGTGACCATTCCAGGCATATCGACGACACCGATATAGTGTTCAGCGTCATCAGCACATAAACGCGCATTCATTTTCTCGACAATCCATTCGAATACGAGTTTATACATGGATCGAGCCAAAGCATCTCGCTGCTGACGAGATCCATCAGCATTCAAGAATTGGGTACAGAGAGCTCCATTGATGGTCGTAGACTTGTACGTCAAGGTGAATTCCAAGTCTTTGGAAGATACACCCAACAAATCAGCTGCAATATCAAGCTCGTCGACGTGACGAATAGTAGCGGCTTCACCCTGAGTACCGGTATCGTCATCAGCAAATGCGATATTACCCAGATGCAAGATCCCAGCCAATATACGAAATACGAGTTCCTGTTTCGATTTACTGATTCCCACGGCTTTGAGTTCTTCCCTCAATGCCGTGAAACGAGCAGCATAAGCTGGCGATAAAGTAGTTTTGGTACGATTTGAAGTTGAAGGTGCCAAGTATACGAATGCTTCATCCAGATGCCAACCACTGCGTTCTTCAGACGTAGCTCCGGCGACCAGATTATAAAATACGTCAAAGTTTCTATTGGCTTCTCGAGAAGAAGTCAAGTGTGATGTGTTCAAGTTGTAGTGCAAGACTTTGAGACCAATCAGCTGCTTCTGTTTATATTGTAGTTCTTGGTAGCATCCGAATAAAGACCTTCCAGAAGCTTGGCCAAAGACATCGAGAATAGCGGATACGGTACCAATCAATTTCGTTACACGAGATCGCTTTTCAGGGGTTAGCTTTACGAGTTGTTGAATGACGAGTTTGGCAGTCTCGGTCTTGCCACTTCCCGATTGGCCCCTAAGAGTCTACCATTTAGCTGAAATGCACTATACTATACTAAATATGATAATAATATCATAAAAACGTCACTCACAATAACATGACTGTCTGATCTTCATCATCGCGATGCAAGTGCTGATGCACACGTCCAGCCAATTGAAAGACATGAGGAGGTAGGGTAGAGACACTTTCAATAGTTTCATCAGCATACAAATTAGACTGTTCATCCTTTTCAACTGATGGTTGAAGGGCAATCTAAAAAGAACGAGATTTTTTAATGAGGCTACAAATGAAGCTTAGACAACGGAATCAATGATGCACAACTCAAACACGAAAGGACAAAGAGAACATATCAATAACAGATGATACTTACCAGAGTATCACATCCCAAATACGTATAAGACTCTCCGTGAGCTTTTCGATCAATAAGAACAGATGCAATATCATCCTCGGTCTGCAGTCCCTTTCCAGCTAGTTCTCCATGCTGCAGTTTGACAGAAGGACCAGACGAGGTAGCTCCGGCAGACTTGTTTGGTGATCGTCCCATTATATTCTAGTCCCATGCACCTTTTGGTTAAGTTTTTTCTGATTGTTGGTCTGTTGCGTCTTCAATCAACTCAAGGTCTGGGATGGAGTTTGCGTCTCTTTGATGAAATTCGTGGCATGCGATAATGAATCTGATATTGTGAGAATAAAAAGTTGTGTTGTGATATTGCTAAGCATGAGAAACCTCGCGCTGTCATGTTTTTCACGTGTGCTATGTCATCAAAGTTTTGCGTTGAAGAACTGACAGTGACAGCAACAAAAGCGTGATAACCCCAATTTAACTTCCATAATCATGTATACTAACTGTGGATTAAATATTTAGAAATGTTACAATCTCATTATGACCATGCTTTGCGACTTGTGTTGCGATTTGTCCCAGCCGATTGCGCTCTTCTACTCAACAGCAGTGTACCGTTCCCATTATTCATCACATCTGTTAGAAGCACTTTATTCCGTGACGATTCTCGATACATTGATGGGTCTCGATACGGTGTTGCAGAAGCTGCTCTTGAAGACGATGGTCCAAACGTAGACGCTGACACGGGTCTTGATTTCGACCAAGAGGATTCATTATCGTCGTCATTAGAAGTATCTGCCCATCTGACAGAAGACCTTGTCGTGCCCCCAGTTCCAGGTCGTATTCGTCTGAATTCATCATCTATAGCACTTCGGACAGCCAAATGTTGCTTCTCGGCAGCGCGAGGAATGGCATACTTTCGAAGCTCTTCGTATGGGAAGCTGGTGGAGTCAATCGGTAGGTGGTGAGAAGGAAGGAGCAACACGACGGGTTCTCCAATACGTCTTGTTTGCGAGTGCTGTATTGGAGGAGGAGCTAGTTCTGCAAATGCTGGAGCTCGTTCATTAGCAGCAACATATCGAGCGTCTAGTTCCAGCTGCTGAGTCTTTGTCAATACACGTTGACGTTTATACTCCTCCACACCTGCTGCCAAAAGTCCATTGGTTCGTGACTTGGCACTTTGAGAACGACTGGTTGGAGCGGTCGTGAGATCATCATCACTCGTGTTTGCAGCCACCATGTTGGTCCTCTGCAGTCTGAGGTTTCTCAGTCGGTTGTTTTCTTGTTCGAAGAGTCCAATCTTTAACGTGTTTGATGAGGTCTTGTCTCGTAGATATTGGTCATATTCATCAGAGAGTGAAAATTCGGGTTCCTTGTCACCATCTCCTTGTATGAGAGCTCGCACTTGATCTTCGAGCTCCTTGACATATGTTTGATATTGGTTTAAGGAGTATTGCATTTCACTTCTCTCGGCCTATGTAAAATTGATTGAGGCCAAGCAAAAAAACCGTTGCGGAACAGGCTCTAAATGAGACGAGGCGCTGATACGTACATTCCATTCCTGCTTTTCCACATTAAGCAGTTCCAAAACACCTTGATACTGAGCCTTGAAGGTTTGAGATTGCTCAAAGTGCTCCGTTATGGATTTTTGTGATTCAAATGTGAGTCTCTCTATTTCCATTTCGAGATGCGCGATTCGTTGTTCAGCAGCCTCTCGTAAAGATCTCTCCTCTTGCACTTTGGCATCAAGTTGAGGTATTATGACAAAGTCCTTCGGTATCAGAGTTGGAGAGTTGGATCCGATTCTTGTATCAGTCGCGGTTACGGTAACATTTTCTGGTGTTGCCTGGTTATTTGAGGTTGGAACAGCTTTGCTGCTGCGTGGTGCAACTTTGGTTTTCCTTGTCGGTTGGTCAAATGCGGATTTTCGCGTTGTCATATCCAACTGAACAGTATTCGACTCCACGCAGACAGTTTGAGTGTGATTTGGTTGGTTGCCTTCCGTAATTGGATGACGTGTTGCATCATGTTGATTTGGTTGTTCAACGGATGCTGGAACCGAAGGAGACCTTGATGGTGATTCCATAGTAGCAATGCGAGCTTGTAACTCCTCAACTACAAATGAATCGGTATTAGAACACAGGTAAAATACCATTCTCCATCGCTGCGATGAGTTCTTCGCCACCTTGAGCTCTCATATTCTCCTTCTCAGTAGCAAATGCAGACTGTGTCTCCAAATACATTTTCCTCTCCTCTTCCCATACTTGTCTCGACTCGGAAAGTCTAGACTCGAAAGACAAGTGCTGTTCTCGAAGCTGCTGTTGGCTGTCAGCTAGGTCAGCCTCTAAGCCTAAAATTCTGCATCGACGGTGTTCCAACGAGTGTGTAAAGGACTCTTCGATTCTCTTGGAGTTGCTTTGAAGAGAGGCGACATCTTCTTCATGACGCGACACAGTTTTAGCATGCTAAAGATAGTGGTGTTAGTTACAATTTCGCAATATCGAGAAAGCAGAGCATTCATACCAGCTTATTCAGATTGTCTAGTGCTTCTTTGAGCCTTGCGATTTCCTTATTTGGCACCTCGACCTGGATTCCAACGTCAGCTACTACAGGTGCTTCAGACTGCACTTGGACTTCCACGCCAAAGTACTCTGTTTGAACAGAAGAGTTCGTTGTTGGCATTGGTTGTGGTTTTGTTTTCGCGTCGTCTTCAAAGGAATCCTCTGCAGCGAACTTTACACCACGTTTTTTCGGCTTCGGTGGTCCGACTTCGGCTGCTACCGCTATCTGCACAGAAACTGGTTCCTCTGGAGCACTCGTACTCTTGCTGGCAGTCTGTTCATGTAAATTAAGGAGTCAGTTATGGAACTCAACGTGGCCGCAAAAAAAATGTTGTTCGAACTTACATTTAGAGGTCCCGAGCGAGCCTGTCGAACCCCACCAACTGCCTGTTTTATGAGCACCTCTATAGGCTTTCCAGCTGCTTCTCCATGCGCTAGTACGTCTTTTAACAAGGCGTTTTCTTCTTCGAGAGTGCCAAAGTCCATCGCAAACCTGTCAATGAGGATTTCTCGTTTACGGAAAAAGTCCTAAATAAATTCAATAATTTTGAGTACAGTTTTCCTGTTATAAATCTGATAATGGATATTTACTGTGCAGAGAATATAAAGATGATCAAAGCAAAGTATGGCATTCAACAGCTTCGTCTCGTCTGTCGCTAGATCTCCCTTTGGAAGCACATTCAGAAGCTTAGCGTGAGGTTTTGAGTAGTCCACTGAGTAAACGTCCACAGAGCACTAATTTGCTTCAGTTAATGTTTGAAAACCAGAGCCACCAAGAAGAAGAGGCATACACTCTGAAGGTAGGCCTTAATGGACGACGTATAGTCTTGCAAGTATTCCGCAACCATTGGAAAGACATCTCCAGAGTTCTTTGCAAACTTGTGAACTAAAAAACGATTATTATAAGAGGCTGTCGTTGTCGATTTCCAGGAATTTCAACTGGTTCTTACCAAGCTTGGTCGAGAATTTGCTAAACCCAACGTCCAATTTCGATTTGAGGAAACTTAGTCCGTTCAACTGCAGGTCTCTGATATACAAACTAGGCCAAAAAGATGTAAATTTGCCAGATCATATCCCAACCAAAAATCGATTCAACAAACCTCGTCCTCGGAAACTCAGCCTCAAACTTCTCATTAACCAAATCCGTCTCAGATCTCACAACTCTTGCACCAAGTCTCAAATCAGACTCCCATATCGCATCCTTGGTCTGCTGACGTGCCCGTTCTCGAACCTCGTATAATTTCTCAATAGATTTGGAGTACCGGGTCTTGGAATCCTGCAAGGTGTCGCTGGATTTCATAGTTCCAGATGATGTCTTGGGTTTGATCTTGCCCTTGAATTGTTGAGATCCCATAGATGGATACTGGTTGTTGTGATGTTGATGATGAATGTCAGCCTTGTCCAAAGAACCATGGCGAGAGGGAGCAAGGATGGTCGATGCATCGTCATGAGCTGCATTGGTGGGTTTGAGATAGGACTTGTCATCTTCTCGTAGTGGGCTTGCACCCAGGATTTGATTAATATTGGTTTTGGTTTCCACATTGCGACGATTCCATGATTGAGAGTTTTGCAGCTGGGGCTCCGATCGCCAGCGTGAGGAGCTCATTATTCGTGGCCCCTCTCCAGCCTTTTGCTATCTGCTCAAAGGTATGTGATCAGGCTGCGATTTTTGAATCCGGCAAAATCGTGACAACTGTGCACTGCAAAGTCGATTTTAACAAGCAGACGCAGATAGATACAATGACGCGGTATTAAATAGATCTCAAAAAATCCACTGGTCGTTATGAAACAAGCAAAAATACACGATATAAGCGAACAATCCATTTTGCGTCCATCTTCTTTTCTATTTTCCAAACTACGACTTTTTTTTCTGTATATTAGCTACATCTATAATCCTTCCTTCAACTGTAGGAGAAATGTTGGGGAGTTGTTCAGAAGACTTATTTACTTTTCGTGGCGGGCCGCCCCCATCATCGTCGTCGCTCACTCTTTTAAAGCTCCCAGTCAAGACATTAGTGGACACTTTCGTCCATGCAGCGGATTTAGGCATATGCTTTGTTGGAGATGGTGTACGTGCTCTCCTGAGTACTTCCTGAGTATCTGGAGAAGCAGAACGAGCTGCTCGACTGTCAAAACAAGCATCGATTGTCCTTTGATAGCGTACGGTACTGTCAATGGAATCATCAGACGCCCAATGACTGGCCTTTCTCAGGATGTTGAGTACTTTTAAGCCTGCAAAGTATCGTCGCTAGAGCATCTAATATTAGTTTTCTAACGACATATTTGATGATTGCAAATGTATACGTACAAAGATAGTTGACAAGAGCATACCAGCCTCATGGTGTACAATGTGTTTGGATCCTTTCAGTATCTCAAATCCATCACCACCGTTTGCGAGATAGTCCCGAGTTGCTAATGTGTACTTTTTCTGTTTGTCGACAGGTTCCTTTGTACAAACGTCACCTGACGTGCGTATTAAGTGAACAGAGATGATACGATTGAATGGCTCTCGACGCTGTTTTTGAGGAATTTGAGTCCATACTTTTGGCTGCGATGCCCAAATTCAAACGAATGAAACAGCTCATACGATTTATTTCCAACTTACTGAATCATAGCGGAAACTCATGCCAGAAACTTGAGGAAATCGTCCTTCTGTAGCCGGAACCTTTGAGACTCCATGTTCAAGCGCATCGTAAATCTTTTGGCCATCAACTTCCAACACCACACATGGGTCTTCGAATGGGAATATGTCCTAAGTTTTGAAGTTCAATGAGCATGAAAATCGTCAAGTGGAGAGCAACGGAAGCGCTACAAACCAGGAGATCATGTATCGTGATTTCACCGGGACCTTAGAGTAGAGAAGGGGTGAGAGATGCATCCTCACGTTATAAGAGTGCGCGAATGCTTACCATATACAGAATCGGATCTGACAGTCCCTCCACATATAAGCGCAACATCAGTTTCGTACGCAATTCTCATAAGGTCGGCAGCAAGGTTGCCTATATTTGATTCTGATAGTCGAACTGTTGTAGAAAGAGCATCTAAAGCGACTGATGTGGTACAAATTGGCCGAGTGAGGTGAGACGAGACTCCAGCCAGCAGCGCCTCTACAATAGCGGCACTGTCAGGATCTTCTGGTATTCGTGATTCAATCTCATGTTTGACCACGGTTATTGATTCCACGTGATATTTGCCATCTCGTTTCTCTAGATGTATTTCAACTGTTCCCATTTCCTATAGTGAAAACTGCGCCTTGGCATTTTGACGAATGGCTAGATCATCAAAACGGCCGCTTACACGAAAATCACATCCACTCTTCAGGATGCGAATACCACCATTGTACGTGCCTTTAGGTTCCTCTACAACATTATTGCCATCCACAACAAAGAAATGATCATGACCACCCAATACAAAGTCAATCTCTGGACATTCCTTCGCCAATATTTGATCGTTGGGCAGTCTCATATGTGTCAATGCGATTATAACATCACATCCTTCAGCTTTTAATTGCTTTGCCATCTCTTTACCAGCCTTGATAAAGTCTTTGTAGTTGACTGGTGGCAACCTAGCAACAGTTGCAAGCCAATCTTTTTCGATAATGCCTATGATTCCAATATTGATTCCAAAACGCCGTATAGTTAGATGACTTAGACCAGAACATAACGGAGCCTCGGTCAGCGGATCGTCTAGATTCGTAATGACCCAGGGACAGTTGGATATGCTCATCATCTCTTCCAGGACGTCAACTCCGAAATCAAGGTCATGGTTTCCCATGAGAGCACAGTCGACATTTAGTGAATTCATGCCTTTGATCATATGGGATCTGGTAAAAATTGAAACCCTTCAGTTCGAGAAAATCAAAAGCTCGAGACAAGACATTCGTAGAAAGCGATACAACGACATAAGTGACTAAGGCAGGATGTTTGGGAGCAGCAATAGACACTCACCCTTTGGTCACGGCCGATTCAACGGATGGGTTGAGAAGATCTCCAGAAAAGAGCAACAACGGCGACTCTCCTGTAGCATCCTTCCATTTTTTTCTGAAAGTATTCAGCTCAGAAGTGAAACGAGCCAGTCCACCGACAGGTTCCTGTGAATTCAGATTGTGTTAGTGAAAAACCAAGCACCAGAACTTTGATGTTGCAATTTCCAGGCAATTGTGCGGTTGTAAACCAGATCGAAAGGGGCCCAGCAAATTTATGTTAAAGATTGAATTGGATCTGTCAAGACAAACCTTCTTGAATGGTTCCAACCGATAGGCTAGAGAGGAAACGGTTTGAGCAGATCAGGTTTTTTGTTGCAATTCAAGACACATGACACATCAGAATGAGTTGACTTACCGTCATTAAAATGAGCAATAGGCAATACAATTTTATCACTACTCATTTTCACGTCCTCAAGGGTTTGATCAAAGTGAACTGATAAAATGGAATCGGTAATGGGAAAAGTGCTCCTTGAACAGCGCAGGCAAGAAGACTAAAAGAATTGAAACTGCATTGAGATGCTTTTAACGCGTAATTACTCCTTATTGTCCCATCCCAATAAGCTCTAAGACAGTCGCCAGGAAAAGCTCTAATAGCAAACGACAAAGTCGCGATGTCACCTAGCGAATTTCCAATAAAGGGCATGTCTCGGGTCCTCTCATATCTGAAGTTGGATGTAAGGTCGCTCTCTCGCGTCGCTCGAGTCTCAAAGGAATAGAATGAAGCTGTACGTTTAATGTTTGAGCTGCTTGTTGTTTCTTGTGCCTTTTTGTCGCTAACCTATATAATTTGATAGGCTGTTGCCAGTCTATATGAGACATTGCCTCCTCGTGGTCGTCTCTTTTGTTTTCATCATTTGGCCGTCATTCTTGACAATCAAACACATCTGGGTCAAAATGTCTTGAAGCATGTCAAGAAGTTGACAGTGGGTGGAAAGCCTGTTGGGCATCCTGAAACTGCAGCCTCACCTTGTTATTGGTTAGTGGTAGTGGATACGCCTTCGTTTGCCTCGTTGCGTCATTGATGTCTTTGACAATTCACAGCAGCTCAGTCACCGTTCAACCTTGTTTGATATAGACAGCAATGACATCGTCTATCTCAATGAACGCCGTATCTCTCGTCTCATGGGGCGTGGCAATAATATTCGTCATGTCCAACCATTTGCCTTTTTTGTCAACATGTTGAAGCACGCTCGAGAATTGGATTGTATTTGAGCTCATCCACCGATACGATAAAGAAGACGAGCCTATAAACGAGGAGGCTGCTCGCCAATTTGCCACCAGGAACCCAAACTGTAAACTCCGTATTGAAGATAGAAGTGTCTACAACTCAAACTGCAACCATCACAACCACAATGCAGTATATGAAAGTGGATCGCTTCTTTATCTCTAGCATCAGCGATACCGGCCAGGAAGCCGTCCAGCCAATCCTCCATACTCTACGATTAACGAGTACTGAAGCTTTGACAGCATTCAGTATTGGGGCAGAGACATTGAGAAAACATTCAATCTGTCTGCAGACTACTGGGATTTATCAAGGGACAGTAAACTCAAACATATAAAGATAGATGAAGTCCCTTCCATTGATACTTGTAAGCCATAGATCTCGCTTGCATCGCTTGCCTCAGCAGCTGCCAAGGCTAAACGCGAATGTTTGACCGTTGGCACCGACTCGAAAGCGACTTCAACTGTCGCTAACGAGCTCCTACAACCATCCGCCACCCGCAATTCCAATTTCAGATCTACAACGTCTTGTATTGACATCAAACGCTACTAGTGTACTTGACCTCGTACGTGTATATGGTAGACAGCTCAAAAGTCTTGTCATCCGTGATTGGTTGAATTCTCCAGCTGCAGCTAGCTTCTCCAGAACAGTAGTGGTCGAGCATTGCCCGAATCTTGTAGAGTTGGCACTTGTCTCTGACGATGAGAGCAATGACAATCTGGTGGAAATGCTCGCCACACAACTGGAAAAGCTGCAGTTCTTGGACTGCGACTGTTGTATGATCTCGCGTCGAACTTTAGGTAGAATTGTTGCTAGTCGTGCCAGAAAGGGGTTGAAAGTATGCTTGAACGTGTACAATGTCATAGAACTCATAACTACAGAACACAGATCTATAGGTCGTCAGGCAACAGCTTGTTGTTTACACCACCAGGAAAGGTGAACGGCATTCAAGCAGCCGCTCGAATGGCGAAGGCTGCGCTCGTTTTGGAGGATTTTGAAGGTCTTGGTGCTTGTCAAAAAATTGTATAAAAAGGTGCAATTATATTCTCATAGTGTTTGTACAAGGAGGGGGATGAGATGTGCTTGCTGAATATACAAAGGTGCTCTTCCAAAAAACGAAACCGAAACCAAAGGCTCAAAGTTCTCGCCAGGCAGCTTGTGGCATATTCACGTAGCGGGATTGTATTTCTCTGCGCTGTCAACAAATGAACATGCGTAACAAATGCTGGGTTGAGGTAGACGAACGAAACAGATCTACGGAATAGACTGATGCCAAAGGCTTGAGATGGCAAATGATCTCGTGTCCTTATACTGCGAGTGTGGGATCCGTTGCGTTGCCATCCGCAATTTTCGCTGGAGCGGCACCCCAAGCTGATGGTCGTAGAGTCTCTGGAACTTG